AACAAAAGGCTATCGACTGTTAGATATTAAAACAAGAAAAATAATTATTAGTAGAGATGTTGTATTTTTTGAAAATTCTATAAATAGAAAATTTTCTGTAGTTCCATTGACAGAAAATATTAAAAATGAAACCAATGAACATTTAAGTGAAAGTTTAGAATCAAAAAGCTCAGAATCTCTGGATAGTCAGAAACCAAATGAACTGAATATGTCTACTCAAAGCTTATCTGATGATGAATCCTTCTATTCAGATGATAGTTCACTCTATATACCTGAAAAAAATTGTTCTGAATTTAAAACTAGTAATATAACCACTAGATCTAAAAGTAGGCAATTAAAACAAGAAACTAATACTTACCTTTGTCAAGGTGGAGAGCAACTGGATGACACACCAAAGACTTACCAAGAAGCAATCTTATCTTCCGATAAAGATAAGTGGAGTAAGTCAATACAAGAGGAGTTGAAAGCACATAAAGTAAATGAAACATGGGAGTTGGTGAAGAAGCCGGAGAGAGTAAAGCTGATTGGATGTAAGTGGGTTTTCCGTATTAAAGATGATATAACAGGTCCACTTTACAAATCAAGACTCTGTGCTATGGGGTGCTCACAGAGGCATCAACTTGATTATACAGAGACTTTCTCACCAACTGTTAGATACGACTCAATAAGAGTAATGCTTTCAAAAGTGTGTCAGGATAATCTGAATATGATACAGTTTGATGTCAAAACTGCATTTCTTTATGGAAATATAACAGAAAATTTGTATATGACTCCACCAGAAGGTATAAACAGTCCTGAAGGCTATGTATGTAAACTTAAAAAGTCCTTATATGGTTTAAAACAAGCACCAAGGTGCTGGAACAATAAGTTTGATTCAGTATTAAAGACATTTGGTTTCACTAATAGTCATTCTGATCAGTGTGTGTACATTGGCGAGTTAAATGGAACAAAAGTATATCTGATCCTGTATGTCGATGACGGATTATTAATCTCAAAAGAACAATCAGTATTAAATAATGTAATTAATGTTTTAAAGAAAAATTTTGAAATAAAATTGTGTCAACCTAAGAATTTTGTTGGACTTCAAATAGACAGAGGAGATAACTACATATTTTTACATCAATCAAGATATATAGAGAATTTATTAATTAAGTTTAACATGACCAATGCTAAAGGAAACAGCATACCAGTAGACCCACATACTAAGCTGGAAAAGAGTAAATCAAAGATGGATAGAAAAATACCTTATAGAGAAGCAGTTGGATCTTTGATGCATTTAGCAATAGTCAGTCGACCTGACATTATGTATGCTGTTAGCCTGATGAGTCGCTTCCTTGATTCTTATGATGAGAGTCATTGGAATGCTGTCAAAAGGATTATTAAGTATCTAAAGGACACGAAAAATTATGGTCTTTACTACACTCCTAAAAAGGAAAATGTAGTTGAATGTTTCAGTGATGCAGACTATGCAAATGATATTGACACAAGAAGGTCAATGACGGGGTATGTGTTTTTAAAGAATGGTGCAGCTATAACCTGGGCCAGTCAGCGTCAACAAAGTGTGGCACTGTCAACCACTGAAGCAGAATTTATGGCTGCATGTAGTGCAACTAAAGAAGTAATTTGGTTGAAAAGGCTTTTGTTAGACTTAGATGAATATAAACAAAATTCAATTTGTATTAATATAGATAATCAAAGTGCCATTTCTGTTATTAAAAATGTTAGCTATCACAAACGTTGTAAACACATTGATATTAAATATAAATTTGTCAAAGAAAAGTATGAAGAAAAAGTAATTGATTTGAATTATATATGTACTAGTGAGCAAAGTGCTGATATGTTTACAAAGGCATTACCGAAAAGTAAATTTCAGTATCTGAGAAATAAAATTGGAATTTGTAAACTGTAACTATAAATTTTTATGCAGAATAATATGTATACAAACAGTGTCACTTTGAATATAATAATACTATCTTTATGTATTGTTAAATTGTGTTAAGTAAGTTTCAGTACTTAGAGGTTGATACATTGTATACTTAGTTGGATAGCATATGTTGTCAATATTTAGATGAATATGTACCCATTTCTTATGTTTAATGTTAAAATAGAGAACGTAACAATTTGGTGAGAGTGTTGAAGTACCTATCTAATGCTATAAATTGTATGTTCTATAAAAAAAAGAAAAATGTAATTCGGTCTATGTAATCTATGCTCTCGCTCTCTCTCTTTGGTCTCTGGTCTGCAAGTCACTGCGCTGCAAAACTGTAAGAATATAATTTATTTAATAAAACACCATAGAAGGTTTAGATATTTTGTTTTATTACAACATTTATAATATTTATCCACATGTTTCTAGTTTGTATATTCGGAATACGTGTTTGAGTTTCATACAAGTGCAAATCACATATGTTCTAATAAATTATATTCAGTAGCGATTTTAATTGAATATTTTGATTATTTATTTATTTTTTCAAATTAAAACTGAACTTTATTGACTGTGTCCTTTTCCAGACTTTTTATTAATTTATTATAATTAATTATTTGCATGCAATTAAAAACTAATTTTAAACGATGCCAAAGAAGGATAACTTCTCACGCGCCTACATAAGTACACGCACCCATTTTTTTTGCTACTATGTACCTCTATTATTGTATCTAGTATTGTAGAACTGTGTCTGTTAAACTTCATCAACATCAACCCATGCTCGTCCACTGCTGGACATAGGTCTCCCCTAATGCACGCCACTGCTCCCGATTTTGTGCTACTCTCATCCAGCCCACTCCAGCCAGCCTACGAATATCATCATCCCATCTTGTCTCAGGGCGTCCCACACTACGTTTACCGAGTCGCGGTCTCTACTCAAGAACTTTCCGGCTCCAACGGCCGTTAGTTCTGCGGCTAGTGTGACCAGGGGGCCAATCGCCTAACGGAAATGCTTTGGAAAACGCTAATGCTTACGATTTTATTTTGTTATTTCTAGCCGCCTGAGGTATTCAAATGCCTCGCGCTCTTTCTTTTTCTTTTGCATTAGTAATAACAATATTAAAAAAAAAGAGCCTGAGGTATTCGAAAACCTCAGGCGGCTAGAAAAAACAAAATAAAATCGTAAGCGTTAGCGTTTCCCAAAGCATTTCCTTTAGGCGATTGGCCCCCAGCCCACTGCCACTTCAGTTTGCTAATTCGGTGGGCTATGTCGGTGACTTTGGTTCTCTGTCGGATTACATCATTTCTGATGCGGTCCTTCAGGGATACTCCGCGCATAGCCCTTTCCATAGCTCTCTGAGCGACTTTAAACTGGTGGACTCGTCCAGCCGTGAGTGTCCACGTCTCGGCGCCGTATGTCATAACTGGGAGGACGCACTGGTCTAAGACTTAAACTAAATAAAGTTTATTCTATGCGTGACAGATTATCCGAATCGACTCCGGGCCCAATTAATTCGGATAATCGGCGTTCTACTGTACTGGAAACGCGGTAAAGTCGATGAAAACTTTGATGCGTGTTGTAACAACTACCGATCGCATTAGTATCTCGCTAAAGACTGATCCACATGCAAGCATGACTGATCTCTATGTTGATCTCGAGGCAGATTTCTCGAGGCTTCTCGGGTTGTCGAGAAATTTATATTTACGTACGTCTTCTCATATTATTTGGTTCCAATAACGTCAACAAATTCAGTGGTTTTCCTCTCAAATAAAAGTATCAAATCTATACTTATAATAAATCTGTAGAGAGGTCAATTTTGTACATGAAATATATTTTCAAAATAACTATCAGGGGGTGATTAGTGATCGATACTGATGCCAAAAATGCAATCAGTAAAATTTTTGTCTGTCTGTGTGTATGTTCCTTATAGAAACAAAAACTACTCGACGGATTTTAACGAAACTTGGTACAATTATTCTTCATACTCCTGGGCAAATTATAGTATACTTTTCATCACGCTACAATCAATAGCAGCAGAGTAGTGAAGGGAAATGTTGGGAAAACGGGAGAAGTTACTCCATTTTTTAAGCTTCCGTCGCGTGTGCAGCTTTAATGGTTAAAGTTACATAGAAATCATGTATGACGGAAATATTCTACATAAAATTGTCTAAAAAATATTCCGCAACAGCATATGTCTATCTTTTATGGTTGACTCACAATAACACGTGTAATTATATAAATAAAGTTATTGTTTATAACACAAGCCTGAGAACAAAAACTATAGTTAACACTACAGCTCTACACCGAAGCGAAGCGAGGGCGGGCCACTAGTTAATTATAAAACTTTTATTGGTTATATTCGAAAACATTAAGCTTATGAATAAGTTAATTAACTTTAAAAAAAATGCCCTGTCGACCTCCACTCGTAGATCCCTCCGATTTCATCAGCCCCTTCACACACGTCTTGGAATACCCCGATGACGGAATCACCCGGGACAACGCGCCTCCGACTCCTCCCACACAGGCCACAAACACAAGACTACACACCTAGCATACTAGCACACTAGCTAGCATTAGGTAGACACCGCACCCGTACGGCTAACTAGAGCCGAGGTCCGAGTCTCAGAGACGCCCTCTAGTGAGTCGACCCCCTCAGGTGCTCGTGGTGTAGAGGCTCCAGATGGAGAGGAGACTCTCCCCGTGGGGAGATGCCATCCGCCTGTAATACCTCCAGAGGCACTCGCCAATTTTTGGCTCGAGGTCCCCTTAACAATACAGAGAGAAAAAAAACAGCCCTTGCTGAGTTTCTTGCCGGTTCTTCTCAGTACAAGGTCTCCCGCCGTAGTTTTGCGAACCGATGGCGTAGCTTCTCGACCTTCACAAGTGCTTGTAACAGCCAAGACTGAATAAATGACATTTCATTTCATTTCTTACGATCTCGCTGTCCCCAAAGTCATCTGTGACCAACGGCATACACACTCAAAAATGTAAGCGGTGCGCTTTTGAGCCGCGAGTGCAATATGTTTCCTTTTTGTTTGAATGTAAGCACTCAGGCGACGCGGCGGTTTCCCACAGAGCACCCGCGGCTGCTGTGCATCAGACTGGTATCGATGGCGGGCGCCTACATCAAGGAGCTGGTGCACGGGGAGTGTGGCCGCACCGCGCCCGCACTCCGCGAGTCCGCGCGCGCGCCCATAGACCTGCTGGCGCTCGACGTCAGCGCCGTGCTGGCCGTGTGGCCGCCCACCACGCGCCTCCACTGAGTACTGCACGCGGAGTGTGGCCGCACCGCGCCCGCACTCCGCGAGTCCGCGCGCGCGCCCATAGACCTGCTGGCGCTCGACGTCAGCGCCGTGCTGGCCGTGTGGCCGCCCACCACGCGCCTCCACTGAGTACTGCACGCGGAGTGTGGCCGCACCGCGCCCGCACTCCGCGAGTCCGCGCGCGCGCCCATAGACCTGCTGGCGCTCGACGTCAGCGCCGTGCTGGCCGTGTGGCCGCCCACCACGCGCCTCCACTGAGTACTGCACGCGGAGTGTGGCCGCACCGCGCCCGCACTCCGCGAGTCCGCGCGCGCGCCCATAGACCTGCTGGCGCTCGACGTCAGCGCCGTGCTGGCCGTGTGGCCGCCCACCACGCGCCTCCACTGAGTACTGCACGCGGAGTGTGGCCGCACCGCGCCCGCACTCCGCGAGTCCGCGCGCGCGCCCATAGACCTGCTGGCGCTCGACGTCAGCGCCGTGCTGGCCGTGTGGCCGCCCACCACGCGCCTCCACTAAATCATTACAAAGAAATGGCCAATAAATCACTTTACGTAACGATATAATGTTGTTTTATTTCAACTTGTTCGAACCAAAATAGGGTATTTGACAAGTTTTAGAAAACGATCTCACGTTATTGACTAATGTTTATGGAGTCCGTAAAAAGTGGATATTCATCATTCTGTTGTGTATTTCAGTAAAAATAACCAAATCAAAAACCCCATTTTCAAGTTACCGCGAAATCGTTTCTTTAGGCGATATGGCGTCTTACTAGTGTGTGACGTCACACGACTGTTATTAAAACGACAAACATTTGGCACTTTATTTTTGATACTATCAAATACCCTATTTAGGATGTTTAGCCATCTTGAATTCAGAATGACGTCACATAGCTAACCAAGCATGCATTGTCATCCAAACTTAACATGTGTACCGGAACAATCGAATGATGATTGAAAAAATAAAAGAAAGAAAATACATTTATTGACGACATCATCATCATCATCAACAGCCTATCTTAGTCCACTGCTGGGCATAGACCTCTTCAATTGCACGCCACTGAAATCGATTTTGGGCTACTCGCATCCGGCTCATGCCAGCCACCTTGCGCAAATCGTCACTCCATCGCGCCTGAGGACGTCCTACACTACGTTTGCCTAGACGCGGTCTCCACTTCAGAACCAACGGTTATCGATTCTTCGACAAATATGGCCAGCCCACTGCCACTACAACTTGCTAATCCGGTGGGCTATGTCGATAACTCTGGTTCTCTTTGACGACATACAATATTTATAACACACGATCACAACAAGTAACACAATAGAAATAACAAAATAGAAAGCTTTGTTATTTAATACCTTTCTATCTCAATGAATTGCCTGGTACTCTACAGGAAATGTACTCGAACACTGTAATTAATAAATATAAAACTCATTAAAGACCGCACGCCCCGATCGGGGCGCGCTCGAAAAATACCGCACGGTCGATCACCGCACGCCCCGATCGGGGCGCGCTACCCACGGTACTAGTGTTGAGTAGGACTTACAAGAGGCGGTACATTTGTCCCGGACATGACGTCAAAATGTAAGAGCGGCTCAAAATTTTAAAATGTACTACTTCACATTAAATGTCGCGATAGTCGCGTCTCGTTACTCACTCACTCTTCGTAAGTCTGAGAGAGAGCGAGGCATGACATTTCATTTAAGTCCTCTACGCACTATCCATCTGTATCTCTATCTCTCCTTCCTAAGGGTGCGGCCAGAGTGCACTCAGATTCAGACTCAGATTCAGATTTCGAAAACAAGCGCGAGAAATAAACAGTGTAGTCGAAGGGTACGGCCAGATTGCACTCCTGATTCAGATTCAGATTCAGACTCAGAAAACAAAGCGCGAGAAAAAGCAGGCAACCTGCTTAGACTACACTGTTTATTTCTCGCGCTTGTTTTCGAAATCTGAATCTGAGTCTGAATCTGAGTGCACTCTGGCCGCACCCTAATCCTTGTCACTCGCACTGGGTTGCGTTCAAAACCTACGCTCTAGGTGCAACAAATATCTAAATTGACATTAGCTTCATACATTTTATGTCAAAATTTAAACGTCAGGGTAAAAGTTGCACTCAGAACGTAGGCATTGAACGCAGCCCAGGGTTGCGTTCAGAACTTACGCTCCAGGTGCTATTCGTGCACACAAACGTAATGTCGAGCTTCTGTACGCCTCAATGTCATATTTGTACTCGTCACTTCAAATGTATTGCCGAGCTTCAGTACGCCTCGCCACATTTGAAGTGGGACATTGTACTGGATCAGTACAAAAAAGAGGCTACTCTTACAGACTCTTTTTCAAGTCGTGTCCTACCCAACACTACACGGTACTATAAAGCCGTTTTTTGTGATAGTTATAGCCTACTTTTGTATTAAAAAGTTTAACCATAGATTAACTTGGCGAAATGACCTATATATATAGAGCCGTAAAGTTTAAATAGCCCGCATGAATTTAAAGTTTAAAACCCCAAGCAGTAAGATATTACTTACAAAATAGACAACTTGAAAGTGTATAAAGTGGTAAAGGAGTGGCTCTCATACACACAGTGATGTCGATTCTGGCATGATTCTCTAAACTTAAAACTTAATTTAACATCAGTCTCTCCTTTTCATTCTGTATAGAGAGTGACAAGGATACACTGATGTCAAATTAAAGTTTAGGTTTAGAGAATCATGTCAGAATCGATACCAGTGACACATAAACCTTAACAGGTTTTAGTGTTTGGTTTTTGAAATATGTATGTGTATGGTTTGTATTTGTATAATAAAATAAATAAATAATAATAACAAGACAAGAGACAAAGTACATCGTCACGTAGGCCCCAGCCTCAGCATAATATTACGACGGCAATTATGGCGCCATTACACTTATCCATTAGCCCGAATATGAGTGCCAATGAAATTCGAATAAACGACAATGTGTAAATGAACGGTGTAGAGTACGTACGCCCGTATTACCCTACTTACACCGTATTCCAGTGTAAATATTGCTCCGGGTGCCAGAATTCGAGTAATGAAATGAAATGAAAAGTCATTTACTCAGTTTAGGCTGTTACAAGCACTTGTGAAGGTCAAGAAGCTACGCTATCGGTTCGCAAAACTACGGTGGGAGACCTTGTACTGAGAAGAACCGGCAAGAAACTCAGCAAGGGCTGTTTTTTTTCTCCCTGTATTGTTATATACAGAGTCGTCGAGTTGAGAAATGACTTCAGAGATACGTCTGAAGTCACCTTCCATTACATCATCTATACTTATAATAAATCTGTAGAGAGGTCAATTCTGTACATGAAATATATTTTCAAAATAACTATCAGGGGTGATTAGTGATCGATACTGATGCCAAAAATACAATCAGTAAAATTTTTGTCTGTCTGTGTGTATGTTCCTTATAGAAACAAAAACTACTCGACGGATTTTAACGAAACTTGATACAATTATTCTTCATACTCCTGGGCAGGTTGTAGTATACTTTTCATCACGCTACAATCAATAGGAGCAGAGTAGTGAAGGGAAATGTTGGGAAAACGGGAGAAGTTACTCCATTTTTTAAGCTTCCGTCGCGTGCGCAGCCTTAATGGTTAAAGTTACATAGAAATCATGTATGACGGAAATATTCTACATAAAATTGTCTAAAAAATATCCTGCAACAGCATATGTCTATCTTTTTTAGTTTACTCACAATAATACGTGTAACTCCTGATAGCTTAGCAGTTCGGAGCATTCTGATTATATTTGTTTACTCTTACGTTTATAATACTCTCACTCATCCCTAATTTAAAAAAGTTAACATTATTACCTATTCAATAAAAAAAGAATCATAAAAAAAGAATTAAATAAATAAATTCAATGTGTACAATACACGCCTGAGAACAAAATCTATAGTCTACACTACAGGTCTACACCGAAGCGAAGCGAGGGCGGGCCACTAGTTAAGAATATAAATATATAGTTACAATAAATTTTATAGTTAACATTAAATTTAGTATATAAAGGAAGTGGTATTAGATAATGTAATTGAGCCATTCGATTGCCGTTGCAACGCTGATATTCTTGGGGATCTAATTTGGACATCAACGGACCATTTGTTCGCACTTCATCGGATTCGCAAAAGGACGGATTCTTTCACCGGCTCCAGTAGATACAGTAAGTACATAGTATGGAGAAATACACACATCAACAAAATCCTAGGAGCACGCATCACTTGCAGAAACTTGTGATGTGCTACTTAGATATTTAATTTATTTCTTAGCAAAGTATAATCTACCGTCCTCAAGCTAAAGTGCGGCTAAGTGACATATGGTCGATTTTTCAGTTTTAAATTGTTGCATGTTTTGCATGTCGTACAGTTTTTAATTCTCTATCGATCTGTACCCCTAGCACGAACCAATATCGATTTCGAATAGTTTGCGAGTCCGAAATGTCATTGTCAAATTTTTATGGAAACTTGAACAGCAACTCTACAAAGGACGTAACGCGAACTAAAAATCAGTACATATTTGACAATGACATTTCGCGCTTGCAAACTATTCGAATTCGATATTGTTTCGTGCTAACAAGTTTATAGTTTAAGCCTAAAAATCCGTCATGTAACGAATGGTTACAAAATAGCAATAATTTATAGCTCACGCGCCGTTTTTTGCCCTACTTAAAAGTTGGTTTTGTCATTTAGCCGCGTTTTAGCTTGAGGACGGCAGCGTTGATATACAATTGTTACCAAAAACATAATTGGCCGATTTAAAAAATAGAAACATTTTGATTGTCTTAATATAAATATAATACAATAGTAAAAATCTTTCAAAAGTTTAATATCGTATTTAAGTTGCTTAGACTTTTTCGATTAATATACATATAAATGCTCTAAGACCTACAGTATATTTTGTTTTGCTGGAACAAGTAAACCGTTAGTCATTATAGCCGATGAATATCAATATGAACTTTATCACTATTCCTTGGCTATAAGTCGTTTTAAGCGAAATTTCGCTATATCCGGTGTTGTTATACCTAGGCGGTTTGTTTACTTGAGGGTTTATATAGGGTTTCGGTCGGGACCTTGCCAATTGGTTGTAATAACCGACACGTCGTTGTGAATGATGTCGTTATATTCGGTTTCGCCAGTACTATGTCCATGCTAGAGTGTTTATGAAGGTAAATTTACGTCACCAGTTGGCGCCACTGTAACCTGAGGCCTTTGTACAGACAGACCAAGATCTACTAAAAGATTGATATTGAAAGAATTTACTTCAAAATTTAGGTGCAAGATTCCACCCGAACAAATTACGTATAATAGATACCTACCTACATTATATACATTACATTGCAACTTAAGAGCCCTTTCACATTTTTTGCAAAAAAATGCAATGTTTGAGCGCCTCGTTTACTCCCTTAGAAAAGATCTTGACTATTTGCAAAAGAAGTAAACAATAGATTTATTCTTTCTATTGTAAGTTAATGTAGAATATTTGCAAATACAGTTTTTCTTTTTTTGTACTGATCGTTCTACCGCAGCTAGTTTACAGAAAAAACGATAATATGCACAACTTCAAACGCCTGAATCTCTAAATAATATTCAATAAATTAGATCAAATTAATTACTACGGCATCAGAAATATATTTTTGTTGTAACATAATGTATTAGAATTTAAATTTTCGATCTCATTAATTATCAAAAAAAACATCTAACCTCCGTGAGTTTTCCCAAAAAAGAATGTAGGTTTACCTCGTATTTTGATATCGAATTAAATAGAATTACTATCAAAAACTTTCATAAAACTAATCTACCATCATTGAACTAATGAAATATGTATATATTTTGATAATAAGTTCATTAATAATTATTTTATAAGTCTCGAAACATCACCCGTAAAATGCAATATATACCTACTAGTGCAAATCTACCTACGCACCAATCAGTGCGGCAGCGGCGCAATTTTTGTAAAAGGGCTCTTAAAAAGAAGGGAAAATAGAAAGCAAATAAAATGTTCGAGTAAGATGAAATTCAGTTTATTTCGTTTTTGGATCATTACCATTATTATCTGGATCATTATCTTTTTTTTGTGGATTATTATCAGTTTTGTCTGGATTATTATTGTCCACCTTGGAGTCGTCAGGACTCACAGTTGTCGTTGTTGTCGTTACCCCACTTGTCGTTGTTTCCTCAGCTGTTTCCACACTTTTTGTAGTTTCAACCTTTTCTGTATTCTCGTTCGTCAGACCTGCACATATTACAACAAAAAAAAAACGACGGTTTGCACTCCGGGAGTCTCGGCAGAAGAAAAACTTAAATATTAACTTGTGCATTTTTGATATTTTGGAATGGTTAGGGAATAATTTTGCACGAATTGCTTTAATTATCAGTATAAAAGTACTATCATTTATGTGGTAGAATACAATATTTATTTATTGCGCTATCGTACACAATCATGACAATTTATATTACATTAAAATGTTTATCTCTCAGAAAAATCAACTTACATGAATCACATTAACGCGCACCTAGCGACATCTATTGTAAAAACAAATGCATTTTCTTCGCAATAAAGCTGCCACCTGGACGTCCTAGTTAGAGACTTATTATTATAATACGATAAAATAAAATATTACTATGTTATTATGTATAAAGACAACAACCTTTCCTTTTTTATTGTTTTCGTCTTACGAATTTTCGATCAAGCCACGTGTCTTGAAGCGAGATTAACATTTTTACCCATTACAAAAAAAGTGTACAACGCCGCTAAAGAAGTTTTCACTTCAAAAAACACATGCTTTTTGTTTGCTACAAACAACAAATGTAGTAAGATTATCTAATTCGTGTTTACTATTTGGAAAATTGACATAAGTCTGTCCTTTCCATTCCTTAAAAAGCATGATATGGACAGGATAGAAACAACTGTAAGCCCCGGCGTATGACATGCAATACGGCAGGGCGTCATGTCATGACACGTACATGGAGCGACGCGAGCACGACGTTGCTGCTCCGTTGACAGAGTAAAGTATAAGTCGCGGTACGAAACTCTAGCGCTGACCTCTATTGGGTAGAAGTAAAAATTAAGATGTTTTAGGGGAAAACGAGGTGCGCGGGTGGGCGTGCGTTGCGCCGATTGGCTCTCCAGTCATACCCATGCGCAGCTATTACCTTCGCGTTTTGTTCAGCGCTAGAGTTACGTGTCGCGACCTGCAGCATAGTTTTGCTTTTGTATGTAACCTGCAAGCAGGCGCACAATACGCGTATAATGATGAATATGCATCTATGAAGATACGCCTCCGTGGACAGTGGTGGTTCTAACTTAGGGCTGCCATCTCTAAAATATGGCAACCAGGATAAGATGCGTGATAACCCCGGATTTTGATGCCCAGAACCCGGACAGACCAATAAAAAAACAGTTAAAACAATGTCACAAATCAACTTTTTTATGTTGATCTAGGCAAAAGAGCTAGCGGTCTACCTCATAATAAGTGGTCACTGCTGCCCATGGACACTTGCAGCACCAAGAGCCAATCATGTGTTGCCGTAAATTTTTAAACCCGGACTACAAATACAACCCCGCCCGGACGCTCCCCGGACGCCCCGTAAACTAGGACAAATCCGGGGAAACCCGGACGGATGGCAGCCCTATTCTAACTAAACCTAGAAACATATTAACGTGTCGTGGCGTGTCGTGACGCATCGGTTTCATACATTTATTATGGGTTTACAGAGAGAGAGGAGAGAGGTTAGAGCGTCGACAAGATACGTAAATATGTCACTAACCGTAGTAAATGTATGAAACCGATACGCTTCTTACGCGCCACGAGATGACACGACACGTTGATATGTTTCTGACTTTAGACTCGGGGCTCTAAGGATCAGGTTTGTTGCAAACGGAACGGCCATTAGTATTTTTCTAACTAATAAGAAAGCTAATAAGTAAGTACATTGTTTTTTTTGTTTTTGTACTATTGTACCCCTCTTTTCTTCCCCCTATCCCCATTTTCTTTTTCCTCACTTGTTTCTCACACTTCTTTCTTTCTACTCTCTGAATCGTCCTCTACTCTTTCCCTCCATATCCTACACTCGTTCATATGACCTCATCTCGAAGCGGTCTCGAGAGTAGAGCTGTACCCTAAACACGAACCAATATCGAATTCGTATCATTTGCGAGTCCGAAATGTCCTTGTCAAATGTGTACTGATTTTTAATTCTCGTTACATATTTGTGCCGCTGCTGTTAAATTTTTCATTGCAAAAATTTGACATTGACATTTCGGTTTGCAAACTATTCGAATTAGATAATGGTTCGTGCTAGGGGTACTGGAAATATCTAAATAGTCTGTGGCTGAAACCCTTGTCAAACATTAATAACATTACACACTCACATTGTCAAACATTAATAACATTACACATAACATATCACATAAAAATACATAGTTACTTGCGTACAAAAAAGCAATAAAAAAATAAAATCCGTGGACTTACTCCACCGGAAAACGTACCATTTGGTGCCGTTGTTGGAGTCGTTGTTGTCCATTTACTGCAGGTAATTAAATTCACTGTTATTATTTATAGAAATATATTACTAGAAAAAATTCGGTCCAGAATTCAGACGAGATTCGAACCCGCATATTTGTTCGGTTTGAAATGTTGTAAAATATTTTTTTTATAATCACTTTTATTAAAAATATTATTTTAATACCACATTAAGAAATAATAATCATACATAACTAGGTACTATACAAGTTAGGCTTGTTGAAAATATATCGATGAATCGATATATCGATATTTTTTGCCGATATATTTTGATTCGATATATCGATACATCGATACAAAATAACCAATATCGAAATTCATATCAAAAACGATATTTTTTTAATTATTAGCGGCATATCACGATCTAACTAAATTCGTATCTGGAAAAATCGTAACTGGATCTCAGATTAATGATATACAACATATCTATGATCTGTGCGGTATTTAGTATTGTCTATGTCATCATTCGAAAATAGGGTCTATTTTTAGGGAGATAATTTTCGTTCCATTATTATTCCGCGTGTCATATTTCGTGAGCGATATTTTTGGGAAAATTGGTCCGATATATCGATATATCGATGTTTTTTTCGCGATATATCGAAGCCGATATTGATATTTTTTAAAATATCGATGTATCGATATATCGATATTTTTTTCAACTTTCGACATCCCTAATACAAGTAAATAATCAAATCGGTGATCGAGATGCCACAGATTATAGAATAAAAGCAGTTGGAGCGCACAGAACTCGCCATGCGTGCCACCAAAGCAAGTACAAAGTTAAAAGTCGAGATTTTTGAAGTTATACTTCTTTAGGCGCGTTATGAAAACATGATGAGAGTGAAATTTTAAGATGCGCGCGCATCACTGTAACACAAAAATTCGCTTTAGCGACCAACTTCATGCTGTTACTTTTGTGTTTACCGCACATTAAGAAAATGTACCAACAAAATAAAAATAGAATCTCTATTTAGTGGGTGCTAACGACTGCATTGTGAAGGCCTATCAAAAGTATTTATTAATCTGGAACAACGGAACCAAAGCGCGATTCAGGAGACTACAGCGCCATCTCTTGACCATTGGTGTAGTAGAACCAAAAACTACATCTTTATTTTTTGTAATAAAGTAACAGTTATAGGTATTCATATTTATGATATTTATCCACATGTTTCTAGTTTGTATATTCGGAATACGTGTTTGAGTTTCATACAAGTGCAAATCACATATCGCCTCTTTGCGATGACAACGTGACATGTCATTAAAAACGTTTTTATTATTATTTGATAATCAAAACCGCGGTATCGAATTTTATTTTCCATAAAAACGTGGTATTTTAAACGAGAGTGGTGGAGGAATTATGAGTGAAAGAGACAGTACTACCGTGTCAAATAGCGTTATCACGTTTTCTCATTTGGTGTGTGTCGCTTACTTCGACAACGCAACAAGTCAGTTGACTCCGCACGCGCCGCGAGTGAAGTGCTCCTGCTTTTCACAAAAAACGTGACATTACGATCATACCACGTTTTTATTGCAAAGGTATGCTTTTTGTTTTTATTAGATTTTTATTATACAGTGTGATATTGGTAATTAACTTATTATTATTGTAAAACTTGTGTGTGTCCAGACTGAAATAAATAAGTTTGTCACATTATTGATGACAACGTTACTATTTTTCTTTGTGATATCTTATAATACAACGATGTTGTTGATGAATGGTTTATTAATATATAAAAATCGTATTGGTTATTTCCTTATGATTCACTTTTTTTGAAATCCTTTTCTTTTTAACGTTGAATATTCTAAAATATTACATTGTACATACTAAAATAAAATCACTGTTATGAACTTTTTTTTTCAGATGGGATCGCGATCTAGGAAACTAGTTGAATTAGCGACTAGAGTTGAAAATAATGAAAATGCATCGAAGACATTATCAGAAGGTTGGTAATTTTTTTACGTTCTGAATATGATTTTTTTGTTAGGTGTATAATTCAATTGTTTTAATTATTATCTTTGTAGATAAGGACAACGATACCATTCGGCCCCGTTCTGATTCGCGAAGTAGCAGCAGTTCCTTGAGTTCAAGCAATTCTTCCTGTTCGAGCAGTTCTTCCAGTAGTGGTCCATCTAAATATCAAGGTAGTTTTATTGTAAATAGAATAAAATATATATTGATAATAAAACTAGCAGCGCTCCATTGATTTAACCCTTAAATTTCGTATTCGAATATTTCCAAATAGTATTATGACGTACGTTACACTTACTTATCAATGTATTTATTAATAAGCCTTTTTTTTTAGATAACGACGACTCAGTTAAGGATCCAGATTATGAAATCAACCAAACAAAACGTGTTGAGTATTCTTCTGATTTTGACGTGGAACCAGGTGACACTACCAACTGTAATAACCTCTCAGTTGACCTAGATTTAGTAGCACCTAATGGCTTCGTTACAAGAAAACAATCATGATACATTTATTGAGAGCAATGCAGTTATGGCTACAAACGACCATGAGATGGTATCCAACGATCCCGGTGTGACAACAGACACCATTGAAAGTATTGGCAGTAATCAAACGGTTCTTACAGAAAGCCAAACTAAATCTGGTAAAAAAAGAAGAAAGAATGAAGCAAACTGGAAGGCAAATGTAGCAAAACGACTGAGAAATTGTGGAAAGTCTTATCAGTCTTATAAAACAAAAAGAAATATACCAAATCGTACATTGAAACCTATTTGCAAAGATAAATGTAAATTCCAATGTGGGTCTAAGTTTACAGAGGAGCAAAGACAGAAAATTTTAAATGAGTACTGGAACTTGGGAGAAATAGAAAAGCAATGGACGTTTATAGCAAATAGTGTAGATATAGTCACCCCAAGACATCGTTACGTTAAAGTAGATTCTGATGGAAATATTGCAACTACTCGGAACAACAATAACGCTTTCTTTTTGACTATTTCTGGCACAAAAACTAGAGTATGTAAATTGTTCTTCAAAAACACTTTGGGAATTAATAACCGACCAATAGAAACAGCTCTCAAGAAAAAAAATAACGACACTAATATTTCTTCAATGAAAGATAACCGAGGTAGTCATCAGAATCATAACAAAGTGGATGAAGGCATAAAAAATGGCATCAAAATGTTTATTGAGTCTATACCAAAGATCGAGTCTCATTACATTCGGGCTAACTCAAAAAGACTTTATATTGATGGTAGCAAAGCTGTCACAGATCTTCATAGAGATAATGTGGAAAGATGCAAATCTCAGAACCTCCCCTATGGAACATACATGATGTTTTATCGTATTTTCACGCAAGATTTCAACATGTCCTTTTTCACTCCTAAAAAAGATTTATGCAACGTATGCGAAGCCTATAAAAAGAATAAATCCTAATTTGGATATGAAAAAGGCATATCTTCGAAAACCTGGAATAGCCTAAAGAAAAAAAGCTGATCTCATGGATTTGGTCAATAAGAAACTCATCCCCAGATACCATAAGCCATTTTACGAATCGTTGTAATTCTAGGTTTTCGAAGATATGCCTTTTTCATATCCAAATTAAAGGTTTCGTTATTGTGACTTTTCTTTTTTCTTTTAACTATTGCTTTCTTGAAGAGTTCGTCAGTGTACGATTCTTTGAAAAATATATAATCAGGATAATTAAAGACTGATTAAATATAAATGTTTTTAGACTTATATTTTTTAAAAGTATTTAACTGCGCTATTTTGACTGACATTATTTTTACTAGTATTAAGGTAATTTGTGATACTACGTTTATGTGAGGCAAACATGTTCCTATTTTGAATAAGTCCTAATTATAAAAGAATCGGTGCAGTAATTATGCGTAAGACGTTAATTTCTTTTAGACTGCACTAGAATATAATTCTTTTGTTTATTTGTTATTTGTATGTTTTTTTTTATTTGTATGTAAGGGTAATTTTCAGTTACTTAATAATTTTAAGGGAAGTACTTAGTTCCTATAATGCTACTGATCTCTTGTTAATTAATTATCTGTCTTATTCCAATTTTATGTATTGGATGGTGGAAATAAACCATCATTTTGGTAAAATATTATCTTTGGAATTACAATATTTTTATGTTAACAATGTATTTTTTTAACTTATCACACTGCCTAACACGCGAATTAACACCTTCAATGTGCTATGTCAATATGTTACAAGCATTTTTTCACATATTTTCATAGAAAACGTGACATATGTTGCTTTTTTTTTTAACATCCAAATTTTATACTAATAAGTTATTGAACTGTGATTTATTTGCTTATTTTCATAAAGTTCATTAACTTGTTTAACAAGTTAATCATAATCCGACAGTAAAAATAACAATATTTTAGATTATATTTAAATTTTAATGTAAAAAATTCGCCTCCCGAAAAATTGCAGTTTTAAAAATGTCACGGTGACATCGCAAAGAGGCGATATGTTCTAATAAATTATATTCAGTAGCGATTTTAATTGAATATTTTGATTATTTATTTATTTTTTCAAATTAAAACTGAACTTTATTGACTGTGTCCTTTTCCAGACTTTTTATTAATTTATTGTAATTAATTATTTGCATGCAATTAAAAACTAATTGTAAACGATGCCAAAGAAGGATAACTTCTCACGCGCCGTAGTACATGCACCCATTTTTTTGTCTTTGTGAATAGCTTTTGCGATTGGGTACCTACAATGCGAAGAGATGGCGCTGCCTTACAGCTAAGAAAGGCTAGAAAAGAAATCGACTCGGCCATCAGGGCCGCGTTAGCATAATGATCAGTGCATTCGCCCGGATTACGAAGGGTGCGGGTTCGAGTCCCGTCTGCTGCCTGGTCCGCGTGGATATTTTTCTAGTAATATTTTCTTTAGTTTTTGCAATGTTTGAACTTAACATTCACGGGACTTATCGTTCACAACACGATGCGTTGTATGTAGTGTATATTGACGCGAATTGATATTTAGCTTTTGACTTCGACTTGATTTTTTGCTTTGGTGGCACGCATTGAGATGTTATGAAGTTATAAAAAAATATGTGAATCTTTGTTATATGTACTTTGTTATTTTTTTGTCGGAACTCACATGCTAGGACGTCTAGTGGAAGGCATAATTCGGGCTGCTTGAGCTCGCTTCTCCAATATATCTCTGTGGAGTGAACTTTGCTTCAGTAAATTAAACAAGATACTTATTAGTAGGTCAATTTCAATACAATAAACTTGTGTTTAAAATCAACCACAAAGTATCTCTCTTTAGAGCTTCTTTTTGAAAGAAAACTTCTTTTCGGACGGTGTGTAAATGGAAAAATCCCATGGTAAAAATGAAACGAAAATGCCTCACGAACGTTACTTGACTACATATACATATGTGTGTGGGGGGGGGGGGGGGGGGATGTTGGAGGGTTACTCGTCGAAGGCTAAAACGCTACGAGCTTCAGACGCGACAATATCTATATCTGTATATATATATTTTATAGATAGGTCTGACAAATGACTCCACCCCACCTGATGTTAAGTGATGGTGAAGTCCAGACCTGAAGATAGCTGGTAAAGCAGTTCTACCTGCCCCACCAGCCATCCTCACTTTGCCGGCCTGCATGTTGGCCTTCCATATATATATGAGCGAAGCGTACGCTGCTCCATTCCTTATGCCTTATGCACTGCCTAATGTTAGATTATTTAAGAAAAAAATTTTACTTCAGATACACAATTTTTTTATGTTAAAAGCCTGGCAAACGAGCATATGGCTCGCCTAATAGCAAGCAGCCACCATAGCTTAAAGGCGCTTGCGATACAAAAAATATTACTCGCGCCGTTGCCTACCCTACCCTATGGAGCCCTGGAACCCCACTCAGTGGTATTTCAAACTTCTCCGCGCTTAGGAAGTATCTGCAGTCGTTAGCACCCATCGACCACCATTGGGAATAATGTCTTTGCTATTTACACAATGAATGTTGGTTGGTGGTGATCCCCGCAGGGGCGACTTGAAATAAAGGAATCCGCGGGAATTGCCACTGGAGGCAAATGGGAATAAAAAAACTGAAGTGGGGGCAATAACTCGTGACAACGTGACATGACTGCGAACACCGATTGTGCAGTGGTTCATGAGACGTTATCACGTCAAAAAAAGGCCTCACCGTCAGTAAAGGTAACTCACCTGAGTAGTTTGACGCTGATCTGCGCGCTGGGCAGGCGTGCCTCCACCGGGTTGCTGATGACCAGAACCGCGTCATCTTCCAGGCGGTCCGGGAGCCCTTCACCGCTGTCAACCTTCATCTCCTCGGAGAACACGTTGTAGTAGAAGTAGTTCAGCGATTCCTGGTCTCATGAGCAAAATCAGAATAATGAATGAATGAAAGAATCATCATCAAGCACCTCGTTGGATAACGTATAGACCACTTAAGAACATTGATTTAGATCACTTTGACGAAGCTGTAAATGCCATAGTATGGGAATCGCTATTGAGTGAGGATTTAAACAGTACATTGACAGCTTTTAATACACATCTCACAAATTTGTTCGATATCTTTGCTTCGACAAAAACATCTTACATCAAAGAACAGAGTTACCCTTGGATTACACAAACGGTCAAAGAGATGATGAGTTTAAGGGACGATGCTCATGCTAGATATCGTAAAACTAAAGTCGAGAGTCACAAAAACTATTATAAGGATTTAAAAAGCATAGTGAATGTAGCGATCCACAATGAAAAGACTGCATATTTCAAACACAATGTTGGCAAACACTCTAAAAACCCACGTACACTGTGGAAAAATATTAAGCGTTATGTAGATTTCAACAACAAAAAACATCCGGAACTGCCCGAGAGCATTTCAGATCCTGATCATATTAACAGGCATTTTCTGGATCTACCGGTTTCCGTTAAACGAGATTATGCACAATTCCAACAATTTAATGTAAGTCGCTTTAGTAATAGTGTGTTTAATTTGAAGCCGGTGGATGAAACGGTAGTATCGGAGATTATTGGAAACATGAAATCAAATGCACAGGGTGTGGACGGTATTTCATTGAACATGATCTTGCTGACTCTGCCGCGAACCTTGAGCATCATCACTACTATTATCAATATGTCTATCACAAGTTGTACCTTTCCAGACCAATGGAAAGTATCAATTATCAAACCCCTCCATAAAGTAGATCATCCAACAGAGCTCAACGAACTTCGTCCGATTAGCATCTTGCCATTTATGTCAAAAATTTTGGAGAAGGTTGTGTGCGCCCAACTAATAGAATACTTGAACGCGAATAACATTCTGCCAAAAAGACAGTCTGGTTTCAGAACGGGTTTGAGCACGGCAACAGCGCTATTGGATGTCGTTGATGATATACTGGCAGGTCAAGATGCAGACAAAGGTACAATGCTTGTTTTGCTTGACTTCTCTCGCGCGTTCGACACAATCGACACTGATTTGCTTTTGGCCAAACTTAAATATTACGGTTTCAATGATTCTGCTGTTCGTTGGTTTTCAAGTTATCTGTCTGGTCGAAGTCAAATGGTTGAGGTTTTATCTAAGAGTGGCATAAAAAAGTACTCTGCGACTTCTCCTGTTTATCGTGGCGTACCACAAGGATCTATACTTGGGCCTATACTGTTCATTTTATATACTGCTGACCTACCAAGCTGTGTACTAAACTGTAATCATCACTTATACGCCGACGACTTACAAGTTTATAAATCATTTAAGCCTGTTGAGACTAATCTAGCGGTGAATGCAATTAACAGTGATCTAGATCGCATATTTCAGTGGTCGGTAAAGAACGGTTTGTTACTGAATCCAGTAAAGACTAAACTGATGGTCTTAGGCACTGAAACTCAAATAAAACGAAACAAAGCCCATAAACCTGTGTTGAAAGTAAAGTCTGATGCAATCGAACAAGTAAGTGAGGCTAGAAACTTGGGTGTTTTATTTGATTCTAACTTGAGATTTGAGAAGCATGCAACAGACACTGTCAAACAATGTTTTTATAGGCTAAGGGTGCTATATCAAATACGTAAGTATCTGAGTGTGGAATTGCGAATTCACCTCTGCGAGACACTAATATTATCTAAATTAAATTACGCAGACACTGTCATTGGAGATTGTCTTTTAACTAGATCAAAAATGCTTATACAGCGAGTTCAGAACGCTTGTGCCAGATACTGTTTTCCAATTCCCCGAAGAGCTCACGTGACACCCTATCTAAATAGAAGTGATATGCTAAATATGGAAAACCGTCGCAAAATGCATTTTGCGAGTTTGTTGTTTGGAGTTATACAATGTAAGCGCCCCATATACTTGTATGAGAAGCTGACTTTCTCTGAGCGTCCTTTGCGGATAACATCTCGTATGAGGTGTCCCGCACATAGAACTAGTGCGTTTCGAGGTAGTTTTCGTTATGCAGCGACCAAATGTTGGAATAACATTCCTCCTCCAATAAGGAACTCCAAAACGGTTTGCATTTTTAAACGGTTTTATTTAGCTCACCCCGTTTGTTAAAGTTAAATACAGGAAAGTTTTCTATGTTAAAATGCTTCTTTATTCCTTAAATCAGCACTCTAATCTTTTTAATTATATATGTACAGAAATAAATAATATTTAAATACAAATTTCCTAAACCTATTTATAAATAACATCCTATTTACAAAATAAAAAATAAGTCACCCCCATCGCCGCCGTCAGGGATGGTGCCCAATAGGCTGGCAGCATTGCCACGTTGAATGGCAAGGCTGATCCGTTGACCAAGATAGCTGCCAGCCTTTTGATCACCAGTAACTTCGATGAGTCTCTTTGATATTTCCCTAAAAAAGGAACGAGCACTTGGACCCCATGGGCCCATGGTCTCAACACCAAACGGCACAAATATATAGTTCTCATTGAGAGCTGAATATTTGCGCCGTTTAGAGCATTCAGCAGAGTCCGCCGCCGCACCCGCAGCAAGGGAGGTGCTCTCTGTGTGGCACGGAGCAAGCGTATCCGCGCAAGTTGCGTCCCACACAAGAGGGCGACCCTGCTTCCACGGAATGAGCGTCATTCCGTCAGGTCTCTTGCCATCGTCACGAAAGATGCCGCTAGGCTCAAGGACCGCTGGCACGTTGACTGCGACAAGAGCTCTGCGGATGACGTCATTGATGCAGGCGTGGCGGGAGACTCGGCCAGCGCTCATTTGGCATGAAAGACCATGGTGACCCAACTCACCGACGCGAGCACCGCAACGACAACGGTGGGGATGATTCGTCTTGACACCAAGTCGAAGCGATATTGCCAGAGACAGAGTGCTCTTGTCAAGCAAAGTCCCGATACTGGCTGAAGGTAAAGCTTGCAGCCAGTAGCCAGACTCTGCCTGAAAGACCGCTAGTAGTCGAGCACGCTCAGTGGCGTTTTCAGAAGAAGCTAAGAGATCACTCTGAAAACGCAAACAGAGCGGCTCGTCCCACTGTCTCTGAGAAGATAGAGAGGTTGGTGGATCCACTCCCGGGCATGCCCTAGACCAAGCGTTTCTAGCCTCTGCAAGGTGAGCCAACTCCACTACACCCAAAGACGGGCATAGTATTTTACTAAAGAGCTCGGCTGTACCATATGCAGAAGATAGAAAAGCGGGAAGGGCAATATGGGAAATATGACGAGTACCTAGACCTCCGAAACGAACAGGGAGAGAGGCCTGCTTCCAAGCGTTATCTGAAAATGAACAGTTTAAAATTTTGGAGAGTGTCTCTCTGAGCGAATTGTCAATAATTGCCAGCTGTCCTGGAAAAAGCCAAAAATGAGTGCTTCGTAAAAAATATATAAATTTTGGGGCGAACGCACAAAAACGAATTAAATATAAAGCCATGTGCGAGTTAATTTTCAACATTTTTTCGGAGGAATGCTGGAATTTAGAAATTTGTTCATTAATAAAAATAGGAATAGTATCATCAAAAATCGGGGAACCTAAGAGACGGAGTGATTTATTATCAAGAATTTTGATATTAGGAGCTAAAGCTGAAAATTTTGTGACAATATGTTTTAACTGTTCAGGTGAAAATTTTGATTCTGGAATAAATAGCTCACATTTTGGAAAATTTAAATCAAGGCCAATACTTTTGAATTTATCGATAATGACGTGAAAATCTGAGAGAACCGTTGAAATATCGCCAGCGATAGTTCCGTCGTCAAGGTACCATACATTAAATTTAGAATTTAGCAAATCAATAATGGGTTGTATAGCCAAACTAAAAATAGCGGGCCCAAGAGGATCGCCTTGCTGGCAGCCAACTGATGAGACAAAAGGCTGTTTTTGAAAATTAATTTAGTAGGTTTGCTGTAACATTGCCAAAGATAGTTATAAATAGAAGGAATTTTTTGTTGAATTACTGATAGCAAGGCACCTCTATCTACGGAGTTGAAGGCGTTCTTGACATCCACCTTCAGCACCACCTCCGCTGCGTCGAGCGACAGGAAGGTGCGAAGAGCGTGCACAGCTGCTTCACAACCTCCCTTGACACCAAAACCAAGCTGAACCGGTTGGAATTCAGCTGAAACTGTCGGTAAAATGTGTTGACAACAAATTTTGGATGCTAAACGGCGAAAGGTGGAGCCAACAGCTATAGGGCGAATACCACCATCTTTTTTCTTTAAGGCAATTAAGTTGGCCCCGTAAAAGATATCAGCAATATCTTCAGGAACTTCACCGGATAGCATCAAATTAACCAGAAGAGTGATATTATGTAATAAGACTCTGCCAGCGTCACCGACAGAGACGCAAAGAAGGTCTTTTAAATGTTGTGGAGAAAGCCCATCTAGACCACTGGCAGAGCCACTTTTAAAAGAGAATATCGAATCTAAAATTTGCTTATCTTTAGTTATGAAATGAGCATGTGTTAGATCTGGTGGCGTAGGTAGAAGCAGATTTGGTGCTGGAGGTGGGTGCTTGTCTTCAAGAGCACTAAGTGTCTCCTGGCAGTAGATGGCGACAACATCATTACTGAACAGGAGGTTGGCAGCTCCTCGGAGATCACCATCGCTAATTTTGGATTCTATTAGTTTTACGGATTTATTAGAATTTGGAGGCCGAGAGGGAGGAATAACAAGAGAATAAACCGACGGATTTAAGCGGCAGTTCTCCTTTACTTTTTGCGTCAATGAAGTACAAATACTGTTTTGGTTAACATGTAAAATTCTATAGCTGAACGTTAGGAGTTCTGCCCAGCTCTCAGACGTGTTTACTCTTACCACATGCTCAATGCATTGTGATAAAGAAATAGCGACTGAAAGCCGTGCAGAACGTGGAATTCTTTTTAAAACAGGAAGTGAACTTTTTAGATTGCCAAGAATTTGCCAAAGAGGTTGGTTTCCCGAATTCAAAGATACTGCTGGCACAGAGGCAGGGGATTTATGAACCCTACCAATGTGTATATTTAAGCCTCGGTTTCCTTTAAAAAACCGAGGTTGGGAGCACTTAGTACACTGAACTAGTTGCACGTCGTCACTGCCAGGTATTGAATTTGCAGACATGTGAAAGATATAGCGTCAAGACGAATAATAACACTAACCAAACAAAAAGCCATACGAAATAAACATAAAAAACATAACACTTAAAAAGTAATCACAACACAATATAACAAACTATTTCATAATGTCATTTTGATATTGATTCGGCACGTCACCAGTCACCACACGTTCGCTGATAGGCTGCCGGAACAACTTCGAGCCTCCTATTGGCTAGGTAATGATGGGCGCCTAGCAACAGAAGAGGCTCTATGAGGCGTCCTTGGAAACAGCCAACATCAACAATGTCAGAAAATTTTCTGTTTTATTTTATGTTTATAAAATCCAAACATATAACATTATATATCTTGCCCACATGCATGGACACGCAGAAAAGTCTTGTCTACTGATATACGGGGCACTTTTTTCCGATTACTGTTGTAAATAATTTTAAATTTTAAATTATGATGAGACGAGACGTATGTGCCGTTTTGATATGTTAAAATTATTTATTAGATGTGCAAAAGTTGCAATGAACTAACCTGAACCTAGAACACTATGGTTAATTTTGAGCACCATTTCATACGCTGTAAATTTTAATTTAATTTTTTTTTTTTGGCTTTCATTTTGTTTCGCAATATTTATCCAATTGATTTCAGTAATTTGACATTTGTATTTAAATCTTTTATTCTTAATTTTTATTTAAATTATTATCGATGACCTTAAATGTCAATTAATTTAAGTAGGCTGCTGCTGAAAATCAGTTTCGTGGCACATGTTGCCTCGACATATACTGAGCAGTGACCTGTTTGGTACACAACCTTTATGTAACACAATAAGTTATTTTTGTAATTTGTGCCAAATAAACGTTTTATTATTATTATTATCATCAACCTATTAATGTTACTGTGGCGGCGACATCTATAAGCCCCACATATAGACAACGGATGGAGGATATCATTACTCACCATCCTCAAGAGATGGCGTTACCTGCACTGCGATCAATAATAGTATGGAAGCCTACATCGCGCAAATGAAATTCGGAAGCTAACTCTTCATATATACGATGCCCGACCAACATCGGTCGGGCCGCGGCCCCCGAGTTAACATCACCCAGCTCGGAGGAAGATCTTCCCCTTTGGCCTTCCTACATTACCACTGCTGGGGCACAGGTTTATGGAATATAGTGGGCCTTGATCCACTACGCGAACACAGTGCGGATTAGTGCGTGCTAACGGCTTCAGGTTGCTATGTCTATCGCTATCGGTTACGATTTTATTTTGGTATTTCTGGCCGCCTAAGGTTTTCAAATAAGTCATGCGCATTTTTTTTAATATTGTTATTTAATAATAAAAAAATATTCCGACGATCGTCAATAAATAAATAAAGTTTCGTGCATTAACCCGTGAAAAACTAGTTTTATTTAATATTGTTATTAGAAATACAAAAAAAAGAGGAGGCATTTAAAATCCTTCGACGACGGTCAGAATTAAGAAAATGAAATCGTAAGCGATAGCGATAGTCAAAGCAATCGCGTTAGGCGATAGGCCTCAGATGCAGCCGGTACCAATGGGTTAGTTGCCTTCTGAAGCAAGGAGAAGCTGTAAATAGTAAATTTTTGGTCACCTGTCCAGTTACCAACTGTTGCGAATGTTGCTTAAAATTCAATGATCGTAGCCGAACGCGCTAACCACTTGCGCCATCGAGCTACTTTAAGAAATTAAAGAATATTTTATTGAAATTGACTTAGTAAGAAAGTTCTATTGAATCGTCCCCCTTTTTCCTACCACCCATTTAGGACATCTTTTAGCTGATACAAAGAATGGGTGCCAAAAGTTATCAGCATATTACAAACCAAACGAAATTTTCCACTTTACTACACCGCTTGATAAAGAATGCGGACTATTGACTAGTAGTCCAGGCAACGAATGCTCAAAAACAGGTATAGAGGGAATTGCTTAGAACACAATTTTTGACTTCGTGACTTTGTTAGGACTAGTTAGGAGGTAAACATATCAAAAGTCCCCGCCCGTAGCCCTTAAGCCGGGGGGAGGGGGGGGCTTGAAGGTCTCATTATTAGGTTTTTCGCATATATCTCGAAAACTATGCATCCTAGCGACATGAGACTTTCACAAAAGTGAAAGCTGATTAAATTTGCTACAAGTCTTATTCAGACAAATTTTTTGATATCTTGTATAGTTTTCGAGATATCCGCTCTTGAAAGTCTGTAATTATGGAAAAAAAAATTGTTCCCATTTTTGCTCTATTTGACCGGATAACTCTTCAACAATGCACCCAAAAAATAAATGCCGGCCGTAGGGTTGTAGAGCATTAAATTATCTTCAATAATAGAAACAATTGCCTTTTTTTTTTTATTTAAGGACAAAATTGTTAGTGTAGTAGACGTATGGGGGCGGTACGGTGGGCACTAGGCCGCGTACTCAGCCCCCACGCGCGGGCCGTCCTGCGCACGTCTGTGGGGCCCTCGCGATACCCCGGGAGACCCCTGCCGCGGAACCTCGGCAAGGCCGGGAGGCTGCTAGGTGCGGAGACGCGGAAGAATCCCTAAACGGGGATTCCGCGGCTTCGCACTAAGCAGCTTAGAGGGTGTTCGCAGGGTTTTTTAGCGGATATTATGCCGTATAGCGCCCGTAAGGGTTACGGGGTCCTCAGTGGGCAGCCACTGCTGGGGCTCGTAAGGCTTGCGGGAGCCAGGTGTGAGGTCCATAAGTAAAAAAGAAAGTAAATTAGTGTCATTGAGAAACTGTAATTATCTAATAATAATATCTGTAATAATGATATCCGCTCTTGAAAATCTGTAATTATAGAAAAAAAAATGCTTTACATTTATGCTCTATTTGACCGGATAACTCTCGGATAACTCTTTAACGATGCACCGATGTCTAAATAGCACACATGCTCATTTTAGAATATGTACTTGTTGGCCCACTGACCAGGTTCTTCACACAATCCAGAAAATAAGTTTAAAAAAACTGCAAGAGTTAACTACTTTATGCAAAAAAGGTTATTATAAATTAGATGATTATTTAAATGATAAGATTATCTGGTGTTGTATTGGTCCAGCTCAACACAAAAAGTAGTATTAAGAATGATTAAAATTATAAAACTGGACTTTAAAAACAAATTGAGACGGTAGGGCCCTGTGCCTCTGGTTTTTTTCCGGTTCTCATTGGCTATACAGGTACGAATACGGCAGCAGTTTTCGATACAATTCACTATGACGTGCAAAAAGACATTTGTAAAAAAATCCAATATAGTTAATTTCTTGCTACCTACCTACCTATTACCTACCTACTTATTTAGGCAACGGCCAACACTGCCAGTTTTCTTACCGGGCGACGCAGGACACCCCCTTTAGTCAATACGTCTACTACCCTTTTTTTTTATACGCAGGCAAAAAATACTATTTACAGACGACGGCGCCTTTAAGAGGCACACCGCCGAACGGACCTCACACCTGGCTCCCGCAAGCCTTACGAGCCCCAGCAGTGGCTGCCCACTGAGGACCCCGTAACCCTTACGGGCGCTATACGGCATAATATCCGCTAAAAACCCTGCGAACACCCTCTAAGCTGCTTAGTGCGAAGCCGCGGAATCCCCGTTTAGGGATTCTTCCGCGTCTCCGCACCTAGCAGCCTCCCGGCCTTGCCGAGGTTCCGCGGCAGGGGTCTCCCGGGGTATCGCGAGGACCCCACAGACGTGCGCAGGACGGCCCGCGCGTGGGGGCTGAGTACGCGGCCTAGTGCCCACCGTACCGCCCCCATACGTCTACTACACTAACAATTTTGTCCTTAAATAAAAAAAAAAAGGCAATTGTTTCTATTATTGAAGATAATTTAATGCTCTACAACCCTACGGCCGGCATTTATTTTTTGGGTGCATTGTTGAAGAGTTATCCGGTCAAATAGAGCAAAAATGGGAACAATTTTTTTTTCCATAATTACAGACTTTCAAGAGCGGATATCTCGAAAACTATACAAGATATCAAAAAATTTGTCTGAATAAGACTTGTAGCAAATTTAATCAGCTTTCACTTTTGTGAAAGTCTCATGTCGCTAGGATGCATAGTTTTCGAGATATATGCGAAAAACCTAATAATGAGACCTTCAAGCCCCCCCCTCCCCCCGGCTTAAGGGCTACGGGCGGGGACTTTTGATATGTTTACCTCCTAACTAGTCCTAACAAAGTCACGAAGTCAAAAATTGTGTTCTAAGCAATTCCCTCTATACCTTTTCGTTGCCTGGACTATAGCCCAAAAAGAACAAACCTAGACAAGATATTCTAGGCACATACACTGCTGGACATAGGATAAGTTTTTGAAGAGCTATTGAAGAAGAAGTTGAATTGACTACTTAATTACTCACAGGGCGCTGGATCACTTCGTCCGTTTCACAATTTCTGCTTCCTGAGCGCATGATATCGCTTATCCTCTCTTTCTAAAGAGTGATCGGTTTCATGCAGGATTTGCCTATGATCCCACCGAACTTAGCAACCTGCCCTACCTTAGATACAGCCCTGGCAACTGTCCTGGTTTCGTGCAGGTATAGCCTAGTCCAGTCTCTTCCATGTCAACGAACCCACAAACTTTGTTACGATATCGCTTTCTCTTCTTTTAGTAAATTCTAATAATTATCCCACTAACCTTGGCCAGACTCGGGAAGTGTTTGTAGCTCTGCGCCTTGCTCATGAACCGCCTCGTGGCGGGTCCCAGGGCGCGCCGCAGCGCCGCTCGCACGGGGCCCGCGCTTGGACTGTATCGCACCAGAGTCATGAGGTGCAGCACCGAATGGAAGTCCCACAAAGGCGAATCCACGTAGTCCTCAGGACGAGGGTGAAGGCTGGCTGCACAGACACCAGAGTTTAAAACCATACATACAACGCTTCAAATAAAATCGTGATAGAAAACTCTCCTAAAATCACAAAGGATAGGTAGTCAGATGAAGTGGAGATGAACAGTTAACTGCAGGGGCGTATTTTAAAATCTGGCGCCCCGGGCCAATTACGAGTTTGAAGACCGTCATATCATAGCTAAAAGGGAAAATCGTTGAGGGTAGTTCGTTTTAGATATTGCTGGTACGCAAGAAAATGGAGAGCGTGTAACCTATGGTGCTAAAACGCCAAGGTGGGGGTTAAAATTCTCTCCGCGGCGTGTGCTGCAAAATAAATTGAAATAAAACTATAGTATTACGTCCTATGTAGATATCATAACAAGGCTCAAGGTCAGCGAGCAATGGAGAGAGCGATGCTCGGTGTTTCCCTACGCGATAGCATCAGAAATGAGGAAATCTGTAGGAGAACCAAAGTTACCGATATCGCTCGAACGATTGCTCTGCTGAAGTGGCAGTGGGCTGGACACGTAGCAAGAAGAACCGATGGCCGTTGGGGCGGAAAGGTTCTGGAATGGTGACTACGCACCGGACGACGCTCAGTGGGCAGCCCCCTACAAGGTGGACGGACGATCTTGTGAAAGTCGCGGGAAGCCGATGGATGCGAGTGGCGCAGGACCGATCGGTGTGGAGATCCTTGGGGGAGGCCTATGTTTAGCAGTGGGCGTCATACGGCTGACATGATGATGATGATGACGTCCTATGTACATGTTTGAGTTTACCTTTGATCTCCACGGGTGCTTGGTCCCGCATATCCCGTAGCAGTTTCTGTCTATGGTGTAACACCAGCCGGTCCAACCAGCCGGCTGGTCGTAGCTCCAGGGTACCGCTCGCCGTTTTCCATGACGCGACGATAATGGTCAACACCAGCTGCTAGAACAAGGTGGATTTATAGTATCCTCATTTTCATCAGCCTATTTATTTCTCGGATGCTGGTGAACGGGTGTTGCCAGCGGAGATGAGTCTGCTCTTGCTATATTTTGTAATATTAATCGTTGTTGAAGTTATACTTCTTTAGCCGCGTTATGAAAAAATTATGAGAGTGAAATTTTAAGATGCGCGCGCATCACTGTAACACAAAAGTAACATAATGAAGTTAGCCGCGGGCGCGTTATGAAAAAATGATGAGAGTGAAATTTTAAGATGCGCGCGCAACACTGTAACAGAAAAGTAACATGAAGTCGGCCGCTAAACCGCACATTACTCGTAAGTCTCGAAAAAAAGCTTCCAACAAAATAGTAATAGGATCTCTTAGTCGCACATGTTGGGACGCTCGTCGCCTCTGATCACTGTTTTCATATTTATAATATTTATCCACATGTTTCTAGTTTCTATATTCTTAACACGTGTTATAATGTTATACAAATGCGAAATTTATATGTGCTAATAAATTTTATTCAGTAGTGATTTAAATTGAATATTTTGATTATTTATTAAATTTTTCAAATTAAAACTGAACTTTATTGACTGCGTTGACTATCCTTTTCCAATCCTTTTATTATCTTATTGTAATTAATTATCTGCATGCAATTAAAAACTATTTTTTAATAATTCCAAAAAGAAGTATAACTTCTCACGCGCGTACTTAAGTTTTTAACTTAAATCGTTCATTTTTATTCCTAAATATGGTCACGGCATTCCTAAACTTTGTTAAACCGGATTTTTTTAATTTTATAGTCATAATTTTTATATTATTTACATTTGTAATGGAAAGTGACTTCATGATTTACATCATATTAAGTAATTTTTCAATTTGACGACTCTATATATAATACAGGAAGGAAAATAACAGCCCTTGCTGAGTTTCTTGCCGGTTCTTCTTAGTGCAAGGTCTCCCGCCGTAGATTTACGAACCGATGGCGTAGCTTTTCGACATTCACAGGTGCTTGTAACAACCTAGACTGAATAAAGGATATTGATTTTTTTTACCTATCCTAGAACCAAGAGGGCTATGGCCCGGGTGGGCCGGCTACTAGGGGCGAAGGCCTGCACGTTCTTTGCTGACCTTACCGTATTTTTATTTAATTTACTATTTCTAGGGAGTGCAAATTGCAATGGGAGCTAAGGCTTATCCTGTTTTAAGGTAGGGCATTGCCCCATAATGGGGCACCCCCCCCCCCCCTAACTACGTTCCTGCTGCACGGGCCTGGTGTGGAGTGGCGGAGCTGGGATCAACAGATTTACGTGTCTTTCGGAGGAGAAATTACTCAAAAGATATTTAATTTTCGCGGCTTGCTACTCATCATTTGACCAGTCTTTGGAAAATTTGCCAAATTATACCACAATCGCAGACAGAATCTGCTAGCTAACCTTAATCGGAGTGCTAGCCACAGCACCATTGCATTCACCATAATAACAATATGTTACCAATATATTATCATCAGTTTATCTTCTCTCTCCATAGTTACTCACAAATAAACAGTACATGACGACGATCAGCCAAGATCCCGTCAACTAGGAAGCAGCTAACGAAAGAACAGGGAACTATTAGTAATGTTATTTTACAATATAATTAACCCAGCAGCTCTCTAATTTCACGCGTAATAAATTAATTCAATAATTACCTATTCACGTGTTTATGAGAATTGTAATATTGTAGATTCCTATTAAAATTAAATTGTATAGATACCTATACAACACTATTTCATTACGTAAATATACCTACATCTACTGTTAATTGCACAATCGCTGAATCATAACATTAATGTGAAAGGTCAAAGAAGATCACGATACTTTTTCTTTTGTTAGTTTTTTTATAAAATACTTTCACTTTCCATGTTATGTTACAATGTTAAAATAACAAAACGTTATATTATGAACGCGTTGTTACGAAACGTAACGTCACGTTGACATTGACATTTGCCTATGTCGACAGCAGCGGCGGAGCGCAGACGTGTCGAATATTTGCGAATCGAATTTATTCGAAAAATTATTATTACACGTGTTATTTATTTTATTAAGATTATGTTGTTAAATAGTACAGTGTAAATAATTTTGTAGTGAACTAGTTATTCGAATAATAAACTCGAATGACGTTAAAATCTCGCTACAACAGCAGTGGCCAAATGATGTAAACAAAGAAATTATTCAGTGAAAACAATGTGTTCTAGTGTAAACGTTTCAGTTGAATGAAGGGGTGTTTAGTTAGCGTTTTAAACACTATACGGAGGACTTTTAAAATGACTGGTGTGAACAGAGACGCCCCTTTTGGAACACAGTGTCTGCAGAGGCTTTGCAACAAATTGTGCCCCCGATGGCAATTCAACAGACTAAGATGGTAAGTTGCGATAATTTCAGAAGGTTAGTAGTGTTTTTGCCGCGCGTTACACTTGATAACATTCCATGAATGACCAGCGGAGCCATAAAGATATTAAATAGTTTTTGTCATGACTTTTTTCGTGTACTTTGAAGGATTCAGACTCAAACAGCATTTGTTATTTATTTTTATGTAATAAAATAATTATCTGTAATGTCTAGAATTATTTTTATGCAGAAATTATTCCAGTATTGAGTCCCTGTGATCTTAAACGGGTTTTACTGTATATTGGATAAATGTGTAGGTACTACATGCAGTACCTAACAAGTCAACTTTATTAGCATAAAGGTCATTCTCCATAAATGCTAACTCTATGCAATGGTAATAGAAGTAAGACAACATATTTTTGCGTTAAAAGAAACATAACTATTTCTAGTGTCTTAAAAGATGGTTTATAAGAATGTAATTAATATAAACGGTAAAAAAATAATCTCTTTTAGTAGGCCTGTGTTGAGTTAGAACATTGCTTTATATTCACTTTACGTTTTCATAAATATTACAAAATAAAGTAATCACTAATATTATAAATGAGAAAATTTGTGAGTGTGTATGTTTGTTACTTCTTCACAACTAAATGGCTGGAGCGATTTTAATAAAATTTGGTGTGGAGTTAGCTGACACCCTGGATTAACACATAGGCTATGTTTTACTGAGGGAAGATATCCCTAATAATACGCGGGTAACACAGCGGGGCACAGCTAGTATTCAATAAATACATGCCCATCGCTAACTTATATAAATGTAAGGAAGACATATGACCTAAACAACAGCAACATTAAAAGCTTGATGATGCATATGATAATAGTATGTCTTACCTGACATCCGGCATTCAGAGAGAAGTTGAAATAATGTTCAAATATCTTATCTATATAATATTGTAGGGTTATCACTTATATGATATATTATAATAGTATGATTGAATTAGTTTTTTGTCTCTGTAGAATTCATTCCTTTTGCATTTTGTGTTTCATCATATATTTCATCTGAATAATAGGAGAAATTTTTACTTTTTGTTTACAGACAACCACTAAACTTTAAAACTTCTCTAGCTAACTTTGACCTTTATGTCAATTTATAAAATTTATATATTATGGTAATTTGTGTGATGTGTTGCTCACTGTACATTTGTGTTGACCTCTGGCTGTTTAGATGGTCTTTGTAAATTATGGAATGTGCATAATTATTATATTTATTTTCCAAAAGCACAGTTTGAAGGTGTTATGAAATAAAATATTTCTCTCTCTCTCTCTTATACATAGTTTATTGAGTACATATTTTCATTCTAGATGTTTTTTTAAATGTAGTAGAGAAGGTATTTTTTAGGAATGTAACAGTACATAATTTTGCGGAAACAATACGGGTAATGATTTTTGTAGCAAATAATCGGCGATACCGATACCAATATCGATGGCTTAATAGATTATTTTTCCAAAATGTGTACTTAATTAGCTTGTTTTTTAGATAGCGGACCACTGTCGGTTTTTGAGTTAGATGGAGTCTCGTATTTCAAATCCTCGTATTTTCATGATAGCACTTCATGTGTGACCACATGTCACTTGTTGTGTAACCCTTCTGTCCGTCCCACAGTCCTCACTTCTCTGTTTGAATAACTAACTAAACAGTATATTATATTTTCCAACCAAAGCTAAGCGAAGACTCGGTCGGCCAGCAGAGGTACCGCCGCCGCGCCATGCCCGCGCTCACTATGTCAGAGTAGCAATCTTTGGCGAGTCTTTTGTTTTGCGCGCTTTTAAAACTGCTTGGTGGTATTATTATCGGCCTCTCGATTATATCGACCGATATATCGGTATCGGAATCGGCATCGTTACATCCCTAGTATTTTTTATTTATTACCTCATATATCACATAGGTCTACACCAGGGAAAATTTAAATTTTCTCCATCAAAAGTCATTTTCAGGTTCAAGGTTCTGTAAGTAACCTCCATCTCACAGAAGATCAATTTAAAATTACGTTACCTTTTGGTGGTGTTGTGATTCTGTCCGTTAGTAAGGTTCCAAGGCTCCACGTGGTAGGGGATTGAGTCGTGTAGGCAATGGTGTAAGTGATATTTTTGGTATCGCAAGTGTCTGGTGGCCGCGTACCATCACGTACCCTAGGATTGTTTATCACCCTTTTAACATAAAATAAATTACTGTAGGGCAAAATGTTATGTTTATAGTTCTCTCCTTTCAGTAAAATGAATAGTTTTATTCAAAGAAAGGTAAGTAAGTATGTAGCAGTAGCAACCCTAGACTTTTTTATCAATTACTAGTAAAAATATTTGTTTTATCATCTTACTTATGTTTTATCAGATATAATTTTTATGCGATAATGCTATAATTATATTAATACTACCGACTAATGTCAAAAAGAGTTTACTGATCATTGTGTTTGTCCTTGACCTTTAAAAAAATGCAAAAAAAATGCTACTTTATAAATACTAATAAATAAGCAAAAATATAAGTAATGTAGCACTTATGAATGCCTTTGTTAAAGTTACCAGTTTTTAAACAACAGATAAAAAATTTGAAAATTTTAGTGTCGGTGACACAAGGCCTTCCCTAGCCTCTACAGGATATCGAGTTGATGTTCATATCTTTGAAGAAATTCTGTTTCTAATCTTCTCCACTCAGATCTGTTTAGGCCTATTTTTCTCCAATGAACTCCCACGGTCTGTTTAAGTTGGTCTGCCCAACAAGTAACTTGCCGTCCCCTGCTTCTTCTTCCACCTCGGGGGTACCAGTTGGTAACAACTTTACTCCATTTTTCTGAATGCTTACGTATCATGTGGCCTGTCCATGTCCATTTTTTTGGTCTATTCGGGTCAGGATGTCAGTTACTTTGATCATCCGTCTGAGGTCTTCGTTTTTCCATCTAACTCTCTTTGTTATTCCTCACATACTCTTCTACATACTCCAAGTTTATGTCGGTGTTGTTTTGTAAGTGACCAAGTTTCGCATTTAATTTTTTAAATTGCAGCTTAAGAAAGTCTAGAAAGAATTCGATTCGGCCATCAGGGCCACGGTAGCCTAGTCCCCGTAGTAGTAAGTAGTCTTCATAAAGCAGATTACACGATACAGATCTCGCACTTTACCCTCCACTTGTAATAGTCAACGGTGTCAGCAACTGTCAAAATAAGTAATCACTAAATATTTTTACATTAATTTATTTAAAACTGTACTTACGAATGAAATGACACGTTTTTCTTGTCTCTAATAGTTCCCTTGTAATTTGTGTACTATCTAAAAACCCATAGGGCTTTTTGTCTGGAAAATCGTAAAATATTTACACGTTGTAGCAAAGTGTAGTTGCAGTAAGAGACCGATTAAAATTATATTTTTAGGAGAGGAGATAAAGGTACCTAAACTTGTCACGTTAATTTTTAATATTATTTGTAATTTCGCAACGAAAAATTCTAATTTTTAAAAAATATAGGGCCCGGACCCTATCTTCTATGTTTCGTCAATGTCGGCTGCTAGCTGGTGGCTGCTAGTTTCAGTTTGATGAGACCGTTCCCGACTGAATGCAATGACGTATCTATAACTATAACTAATGACGACCTCCGTGGTCGAGTGGTTTGTACGCCGGGTTTCATGGTGTCGCCGACTCGAGAGGTCACGGGTTCGAATCCCGGTGGTGGCAGATGTTTGTGTGATGAATACGAGCATTTGTACTCCAGTCATGGATGTTTCATATGTATTTCTAAATAAAAATATACTTATATATGTACAGTATATGTATTGTATCCGTTACCCTAGTATCCCATAACACAAGCCTTACAGTGCTTACTTTGGGGCTAGTCTAATTGGTGTGAGTGTTGGAAATATTTATTTATTTATTTATTATAACGGTAAAACATCATAGGTTTTCAAGGATTTAGCTTATGGAACGAAATCGCGGGCGGAAGCTAGTATCAGATTAGTCCTGATATAAAATAAAAATTATCTATACCTAAATGTCTTTCTTTATCAAGAACAACGAATATATGCATATCTGGTTTTGAGTTCTATAACGAGTTTGAAATGAAACAGTGCCATAAATGTTCGTAACTCAAAACCAGATGATGATGACTGATGTTATGACGAAAGATGAGTCAGAGGATGTTGCTGCGGTTAAATTAAGTATCAATGAACTTAGTAATGTTTGTTTTTAGGGTTCGATGGGTTTCCATTTTCGTTTGTACTTTCACGACAACGATTTTGAAATTGAACTCCAAACGATTTTATCGTGAATATAGTTTCGCAACCTTTACAATAATTCGCAGCGATATCACAGCCGATATGGTAGGTAGGTACTTAAAAGTAATTATGTTCTCAGGCGTGTTCAACTTTAATTATGGCAGGCTCAGGGTGTAATTATTAGATGGTGGAAAGATCTTTCATTAACACTAATGAAAAGTAGAATTTCCCGAATACATTATCGTCACGTGTTTCAAAAAAGTATATTTTTAGGGCTCCATACTCCTGACAAGGAACCAATATAGTTTCGTCATGTCCGTCTGTCCGTCCCCGGGTTTGCTTGAAAGACTAAGCACTAGAGAGACATAAGCACTAGAAAGCTGTAATTTTGTGGAGATATGTGAGCTAATTTTTGTTCGAGTAGGGCTCCCCTCTCTAAAAGCTAAAGTTTTGGATTGAAAAACCTGGAAAATTCATGATAATAGTGCTTTTCATAAACTTTTAAAGAAAACTATAACGGTTTAGATAGGTTTGTTAGTTTAAGAGTAATAGTCGTTCAACTTATGTATTACAGGATTTCTAATAAAAATTCCTTAGAAGAAACATTAAAAATGACTTAGACGTAGTAATTGCTTAAAATACAGACTCTTTCCAAAATATATTATGGTGACGACGTGCAGCTACGGAACCCTATACTGCGCGTGTTACGACACGCACTTGGCCGGTGTTTTACATTTAAAACTACGTTCAGCAATACAATTCGAAAAAAAAACGCGTTTGGAGTCAATTTAATTTTTAAACTTTATTTTTATTTCTTGTGATAACATTTTGCATTCAGTGACAATTTCTGATGTCTACCTATTTTTCTAAATTTAAGACCGTGTGACGTGTTTGACAGAGAAACAGTGGAGGCATATCAGTACAATTCCGTTTGTTACTGTTTGTGGACGGAACCCTACATTTTTTTTATGTTTCAAATAAAATTTTACACTGTTTTACTATACTTTTTAATTTCGCCAAACTGATTAACAGTTTATTGGCGAAAGCACTTTTAATCAGACATCAATTTGGTCTTCATTACAAAACAATGTAGGAATATATTTTTATCTCATTTAGTTTGAACTCTAATTAAACCATTCACTCATTACAAACACATATGCTCACAAGTTAATTTGAAAATTATTATTTAAAAATAAAATGAATTACATTTTGTTAATAGTAACAAGGGAGATATAATACGTACTACAATGAGAAGATCCATATGAGCTGTATTGCAAATGTTATTAACATTATACAGAAGCCTTATAGCTATAATGTTAGTGACCATGAAAGATAAAACAATATATTATACAGAACCCTCTTGTGTGTAAGTCCGACTCGCGCTCGGCCGGTTTTATTGTGTAGCAGTGACAATTGATTATTTAGGGATGATGTGGGACCCGCATGCGAATCTTTGGATAGGTGCGGAGGGGTGAACAAAGTAACTTTTTCGAAACGGAAGTCAAAATTACGTTGAGATTATTTTATAACCTTGCAGCCGGCTGTATCCATGAGGATTTCACAACCGCTCCACCGCCTGGGAGGAAACAAAAAAAAATCTAAACGACTCGAACAAAATGCAACTTGTCAACGCGCGTTAGCAAAACGCGCGTAAGCGCTTATCATCTGAACGTACTCTAAGGTTCCACGAGTGCACAGAGTAGGGGACTGGGTCAAGGTAGGCAAGAGCGCTAGTGATATTGTTGGTATCGCAAGTGTTAGGGTATGGTAGCCGCTTACCATCCGGTGGGGCATAGTAAGCTTGCTTGCCATCCGTTTAACATAAAACTAGCAAACCAGTGAACCAAATGTTCACCAAAACCTGATTTCTCGAATACCGGAAGTGCTACGTTACTCAAATCCGGTTTGTAGTCTTATCAGACTATTCTTAACTTATAACTTAAATATTCTCTTTATCTATCTCTTACGGTTTGGCCGCTGAAACAGCACCACAGACAGACGGACTTGTCTAATAGATAAGAGATTATGATCCCTTAGGTATCTTCCTTCAGAATACTAAGTTGTGCTTAGATTGTATCTAGATCAGCGTTGCCAGATTTTTTTTTTTGCCAAGTCGGGATTTAGGAACTTTTTAAGTGAAAAATGCGGGTTTCATTCGTCGTAAGCGGGACATAGTAAAAAAACGTATATAACCAAGTTTTTGAATACTTTTTATGTGAGTTCAAATTACGTTTACGTGACAATAGATAGGTGCCTAGTAAAAATATCCATTGAAAATGTATTTTTATAAAAATGTGATATTTTAAATCAGATTTACCCTATCGTTAAATTGTTGAGTCTTTGTTTGAGAGTTTTTCATTACGCGCTGGGCAGGTGGCCAAATCACACCAACCACCCATGGCCTGGCGAACCTTCTTGGTTATGCAGGCCGAAGCAGCGGGAGATACGCGCGGAATGGCCTCCACCGCGCGTACTTTCTTGACTCCCTACAAATTATTCTTGATCTATGTCCTTCTCCTCTCCCCTTTCTGGGGCGGACGAACACAAAACGCCTTCGTCGCCATCCCAGCCGTCCCGTGCCCACTTTAAAGTGGTACCGCTAGCCTGCATTTACTATTCCTCCAGTATTGCTCCCTGTCTTTCTTCACCTCCCTCGAGTCCACTCCGAATCCTTTGCCATCACGCGCGAAGTCCCGTAGCTGCCTGAAGTTCGCCTCCGATCCCACTAGGTTGCGATAGTAGACCGGCCCAACCTCGAGCACCTTCACACTGTTAAGGAGTTCCCTACGCGCCTCCCCGTAGAGCTTACACTCCCACAGAGCGTGGTATGCGTCCTCTACTACCCTCCCCACAGTAGTGCGACCCCTGCGCAGCTTCATTCTGCATTCAGGCAGGTGGCCAGTCCACACTTGTCACCGTGTCTTGTCACGTGCCACCAGCCCGCGCTCTCTCAGTACGCTGCACGCCACACGTTCGAGTTATTCCCGAAAAGCGGGATTGAGCCTGTCCCGCGCAGGACATTTAATTTTGATTTAAAAACCGCTTCGCTGATCTAGATGCTTATGTAACATTTATTTATTTATTAATTCCAGTTATCAGGCGAGCGTGCTAGTCCTCACATTCCTGACGTACATGACCTACCATCTGACCCGCAAGCCCATCTCCGTGGTGAAGAGTGTTCTGCACAGGAACTGCAGCACGCTGGTGCCGCCGCCTGGAGTAGACCCGGCTAACGAGGATTGGTGTGATTGGCCGCCGTTCAGTAAGATGATATTTTCGTATTTATACCAACAGAGTTCAACACAAAGAGAATAGAGTGGGGAATGCGGCTCTAAGTGTCCGTCTAGTGGAAAGAGAAAGAAGATGATAGACCGCTAGCTATCTCTCTCGTGTGCGCATTTGGCAACCGTCTAATGCGCATGCGCGATTAGAGGGAGAAAGCTAGCGGTCTCTCATCTTCCTTCTCTTTCTATTAGAGGGGCGCTTCCACTTGTAGTCGTCTATATCTCCTCTACTCTATACTTATACCTCTATGGTTCAACATCAACCTATTAATGTACACATTTAGTGTTGTCAGGTCTCCCGATTTTACAGGAGAACTCCTGTTTTTGTGAAATTTCTCCTGTTGTACTGTTTTTGTTAGAATACGATTATCTTTTTTAAATTGCATGTTGAGTTGCATTTCCGCCATGAATAATGTAATTATAAAATTAAAGGTATTTGTCAAAAAAACAAGCTTTTGAGGGGCGGCAAAAGCCACAGAAACACATTCATTACTGGCCTATATCTTGATTTGATTTACCAGGGGGGTGCAATTCGGAAAAAGTACGCCTCTTTTCGTTTTTTCTTACATCTCGTATCGTAGCTCTTTCCGTACATGTACTGCTAGACGCCTCCCGATTTTTAAAACTCGGATCTGGTAACTCTGTACGCACTGCTGGGCCCGACACGCACTTGGCCGGGGTTTTCAATAGTTCATAAAAAATCTATTAATTTCTGTGTTTAAAAACTGTCCTAAAATAGCAATGTCTTTGTTTCAGACACTGATGACGCTAACACGTTACTGGGAGCGTTGGATTCAGCGTTCCTATTTTCATATGCCGGCGCCATGTTTGTTTCCGGTGGGTGAGAAAATTAAATTTAATAAACTCATCATCATCATCAGCCTATTAATGTCCCTACTACTGGGGCACAGGCCTTCCCTATGGATGAAATAGGGAGATTGGGCCATGACACCCACCCATCCAATGACCGACCACTGCGAAAGTTGCTTAACTTCAACGATCGCAGCCGAACGCGCTAACCACTTGCGCCATCGAGCTCCTCCTCTTAATAAACTCAAACTCATTTATTCAGTCTAGGCTGTTACAAGCTCTTGTGAAAGTCAAACGCTACGCCATCGGTTCGTAAATCTACGGCGGGAGACCTTGTACTGAGAAGAACCGGCAAGAAACTCAGCAAGGGCTATTTTTTCTCCCTGTTTTGTTTCATACAGTGTCGTCAATTGAAAGATGATATCAAAAACCTAAAAACATGTGTTGATGTCATATTTCATCACATTAATATTATTAATTAACAATAAGTTAAGAATAAATAACAATTTTCAACCAAATTAGCAAAGTAAAACGACTTAGTCTATTATATTAAGCCCAAGGTGCCTTATCATTTATAAAATATTTAACTGTACAGTAACCTTTCTTAAGAAGACAAGTTTTTATACGCACTTTAAACTTATTTAAAAAGAACGAATGTTATGAATAGTTCAATTTACTCGATCACTCACTCGTTTCATTTTTCTTTTATTTTTTTTGACGATCTAATCCTGCAACGGGTTCGTTCTCAGGGTTATGTTATGAACTACACAAAAAAAATACGGGATTTGACAAGTTTTAGAAAATGACCTAAAGTTATTTGCTAATATTTATGGAGTCCATGTTCTTCATTTTTTTGTGTACACCAGTAAAAATACTAAATGAAAAAAAAACATTTTCAATTTGCCGCGAAAACGTTTCTCTGGACATTATGGCGTCTCACGACTGTCATCAAAACGTCAAACGATAAAATGTAATGTCACTTTGACGGGAAGTTCAACGTTTTCAGTCACGTGACTATAAAACAATATAATAATTTCTATGTAATGCTTTTTTAGAATATTGAATAATTATCATTTGTTCTCTCAGAGTAGAAAAATCGCTACAATTGTGTTATAATGTAAATTGTAGTGTTCATTCTACAGGGACAGGCGGGCGCACTGCTATACCTTGTCTCTTATATTTTGTTTCACTGTCAAACTATACTAAAGTAGAACTTTTTATTAGCTGCAGTAAAATGACGTTTTGTGGGTTACCACTTTTTGAAGAAAAATAAATAGGGATGTAGCTAAGTGAGTAAGTGAATCATTCAATAAATGAATGATCAGTTTGGTTTTATTTTAGAGATTTAATATTAAGTTGTAATGATTTTTTATTCTATTATTATCACTTTAGTAAAGGATTGATCTTTTTCAGTGGAAGTATAAGGACGTACATCCAAAATTAAACAAAATTGTCTTAACAATGTTATTTATTAATCAATAATTTTCGGAATTATTATCGCTTTCAGTCACACTAATGACAAATCTGTCTGTCATTTCATCTATAAAATGATCGAGGTGGCACATTTTGTCTTCCTCTTTTATAGTGTGAGACACACAGTCACTTCACTTAGTCGGTGTCACTTTAACTTGTAGCACCTAAAAATTATTAACTTATTATTACCTAATTGGTTAAAATTTCACATGGGGTGGGAGAAAACATATTATACCTAACGAATAATAATAAGATTAGCGATGACAGGTAAACTAACCTTTGCGATGGTGGGTACTTCATTTCTATGAAAGAACTGATGTACAATTTGTCTAATAGCGGTGAATGTAAAATCATGAAATTTTACTTTAAATGTAAGTTTCGGGCCAGAGTTTTCAGGAGGTTTAAGTGATTCACAGTCGTTCTCCTTATGCTCCTTTAAAACGGAATAAACAGTGCGGACGGATATTCCCAAGACTTCAGCCACCTTGTTGACGCATTCACTTGTTTTTGGAACTTAAATGTTTGATTCTGTAGATTTCACTTCAAACACATATTTGTAAACGTTTATGTATGACCCAAAGTTTCTCGGTTGCACTTAGCTACACGTCGCCTTATTTTCTTAGGAGATAAAAATGTATCTCCATCTTGTGATGTGCTCAACTGAGCATGTCTTCCATGTAACAAACAAAAAAAGCTGTCACGATTAAAAATAAGTAGGTAACGAAAAACAAACACAACGTAACAAAAATTTAACAATAAAGATAACTAAAACAACTCGCAGTGGGCAAAGCAAAGTTATTCGTGCACTCAAAATAGAAGTTAAAAGCCGAATGAGCGAATGACAAATAAAATAAAATGGCGGAAAAGCGTCATCGTAGCACCGTAACTAAAAACCAGTACCGACTTGAGATTTTATACAGCCTTTTATTTATATGAATAATAAATAGAATTAAGTATGATCATTATGAGGTACTGCTATCACTATGGAACGATTAGATTTTCTGTGAACCTAAGCACATCCCTATTGAAATTAGGCTGTCAACATTATTTTACGGAATGACATTTTGAAACGTCATTTTACTGCAGCTAATAAAAAGTCGAAGTATAGAGTCTGTGCGGAAAGAGAATGGGCGTGGCGAAAAACGGAACTAACATTTTGTTAATAAGTACGCCATATACTCCAAGATATAACAGATTTATTAAATACTTGTTTCTGAGGTTTTCACGCACATCACTCATTAAATAAAACTAGTTTAAACGGGATAATGCACGAAACTTTATTTATTTATTGACGTAAGGCTACGAAACGTCAATAAATAAATAAAGTTTCGTGCATTATCCCGTTTAAACTAGTTTTATTTATTAAATACTTGTTAAACTTAACAATGTCTTATTAATTTATTATAAATCAAGATAATATAAAATGGTTACATATCTCAAGAGCCAGAGTCATAGTAAAGATCACACAGGTTAGCATAACTTGGCTACATATTAGCCACAGACTAAAAGCATCTATTAAGCTGTACTACACAGAACAGCAATCAAACCCAGCAATCTGAAAAACGTCAAAGTTTTGTATTGATACGGATTTGTTTGTTGTTGTGATTTCTTGCGGTTTTTTGTATTTAATCATGTCTAAAAGGGGTAAAACCTTACGAATACCTTACGAAAAAGCACTACAACGCCCTCCAATCTAAATCCCATTCTCTTTCCGCACAGACTCTATGTTTATTTCTATTATTTCTTTCTACTGCCTAGTCTGCGTGGATTTTTTTAGTAAAATTTGCTTTAGATTTACACATCTAACAGTTAAATGATAAAAAATACAAACATAACTATAATCGCTATTTCTTCTTTCAAATGTTTAATACTTTTAAAAGTATTCCTTTGACATTGTGGGTTACCTACAATGCAAAGAGATGGCGCTACCTTACAGCCTAAGAAATACTAGAGAGAATTCAACACGGGAAATTAGGGGTGCGGTAGCATAATGGTCAGTGCATCTGCTCAGATAGCGGAGAGTGCGGTTTCGGTCCCGCTGTCTGGTCCGCGTGGAATTTTTTCTAGTAAAAATATTTTTTGGATTCAAACATGTACCAGCAGTTAAATGCTTAAAATATAAAAACATAACTATAAATAAAACTAGTTTTAACGGGTTTAAGATAAGAAGGAGATAGAAAGCCGCTCTTGAGTTTGTTTCGCCGGTTCTTCTCAGAAAGGTCTCCCAATTTTGGAACCGGTGGTAATTTACGGTAGTTAGGGACAAATAAATAAACTCGGAATTACAAAAAATAATTTTAAATAAAGTACTTTATTAAGTAAATTACATAAAATAAAACTTTAAAAATCGAACAATGAAAAAACCGAACGCTCAATAAAAGTCTTTGGAAGGTAGCTCGACAAAATTAAATAAAAAATAATTCTGACGAAGCAGCCTGTAAAGGCTGCGAAACGTCAATAAATAAATAAAGTTTCGTGCATTAACCCGTAAAAAGTAGTTTTATTTAATGAGTGATGTGCGTGAAAACCTAAGAAACAAAAACATAACTATAATCTGTTTAATTGTTTATATTACTCTCAGAGTTCTTGCGTGTACTTTGAAATGTTACGTAATTCATACCATATTAAGCTTTGTTACTAACACAATTCATACTGTTTGTGACATTGCCTGCAGCTGTTTCAATATCAAATGTCGAATATGTCTTCAGTAGATCGTTTACCTGCTGATTGTAATATTATTTAGTTAAAAAATTTCATAAACATCGAGTTTTTATAATAGTAGATTATGCACCAAGGGGATAAAGCAGTGTCTTACGTCACGGGCAGCATATTGGACCCTGAGCGTAACGAGGGAGTTATGTAGAGTCCTGAGTGAAGCTAGGGGTCCAATATGCTGCCCGCGACGTAAGACAGGCTTTATCCCAGCAGGCCAATTATGCTCGCTAATTGTGATATTGTTTTGATGTCAATTTCACATTACCTATTATGCTCTCTGAAAAATGCAATATCAAAATGACATCAACTAGACATCAACTTATGCGTATTATGATCAACTCTTTAAAATGATATCAACTTAAATGCGTATTACGTTCAACTTTTTAACTTAAAACAGTATCGCATAAACGTCGACAGGATATGATATTGATATGATCTTGATGTGACATAGGAATGTTTCATAATACCATTTTAAAACAATGTCAACTTAGCATCAACATCATATTGACATCACATTAGGATTATATCACTAAAGCATAATTGACCCGCTGAGGTGCATACTCTACTTCTCATACTTACTGCGAGGCAATAAAACCCAGGGCTACATAAATAATACATTTATTTTGTTAAAAGTTAATATTGATATTGGACACATTTGTCCAGTTATGGAGGGACAGAGTAATATTTTTATTAGGAACATTTATGGAAGTTGTGGTCGAGTTTATTTGAGCAGTACTTAAAGATTAAGGAATTTGGGACTGATCCTCATTTTGGAATGTGAATGGTGGTGACGATGCTTGAGGCAGCGAGTTTTCTGACCACGTTATTTGATGTCGATGACTGTGGGAGCAAAGGTGTCCAAGGATCAATAATATTCGACTTATTCATCCTTGGACACCTGACTGACACTGATTTAGCAATTTCCTTCGGAACAGCACCAATTTTATTTTTGCCAATGACTTGTCTGATACCTGTGCCATTATTATAAGATACGAAAAATCTGTTAGTGTTAATATTAGAAGGGCATAGAGCTTGATACTTTTTGACAATTCTTACTTGCTCTCTACAGACTACGAATGACCGTTCTCTCATTGTTTTATTATAAAGTAACTAGCAAACCAGTGAACGAAATGTTCACCAAAACCTGATTTAAAAAAAAAAAATAATTAATTGAGAACTTCGGAGATTTTGTGTGGTTTCGTTTGAAATTCGTGATTTCTCGAAAACCGGAAGTGCTACGTTACTCAAATCCGGTTTGTAGTCTTATCAGACTATTCTTAACTTATAACTTAAATATTCTCTTTATCTATCTCTTACGGTTTGGCCGCTGAAACAGCACCACAGACAGACGGACGGACGGACTTGTCTAATAGATAAGAGATATTATAAAGGCAAAAGTTTGTGAGTGAGTGTATGTTTGTTACTTCTTCACGTCTAAACGGCTGGAGCGATTTTAATAAAATTTGGTTTGGAGTTAGCTGACTCCCTGGATTAACACATAGGGTACCTTTTACTGCGGGAAATTATACCCATTAAACCGCGGGTAACACCACAGGGCACAGCTAGTAAGGTATATATTTCTATGGGCCTACGGTGGCTGAATACAAATAAATAAAATAACTATGTTCAAGTGTGACGACTCACCACAGACAAACCAAATAATTGGTCTTGTGGAAATCTTTGTAATCGTTTTGTGTATCACTGAATAAATACATTTATTATTATCACACTATTATTATAAAGGCGAAAGTTTGTAAGTGTGTTTGTTTGGTACATCTTCACGTCGAAACGGCTGGAGCGATTTAAATAAAATTTGGTATGGAGTTAGCTGACACCCTGGATTAACACATAGGCTACGTTTAACTGCGGAAAATATCCTTAATAAAATATCCTAAAGCGGGTAACACCGCGGGGCACAGCTAGTTATTTAATAAACACTTATCAATCCGGTTAAATAATGTTTATATTTGTGCAATTAGTATATAGTAATATTATCTATGACTGCTACAATTTGCAAGTTTTACTAATTGGGTCAAATAAACACACACCTTCATTTTATCTGCGGGTCAATTATGCTTTAGTGATTTAATCCTAATGTGATGTAAATATGATGTTGATGCCATGTTGGCATTGTTTTTAAATGGTATTATGAAACATTCCTATTAGTACAGTCAATCTGTCGAAAAAAATATCGTTTCAGTGAAAAAAAAACCTAAAGGGTAAGTCTTGTTTTTTCTGTTGCCAAATGACGTCAGTAAGCCACCTTTAGGTTTTTTTGACGTGACAACGTCTTAAATTAGGTTGCGGCTGGGAGTCACTTATGAAAAAGTGTAACGCTCGGTAACGTTACGATGAGTCTCTCGTGTTAAGTTTAAGTTTACATGTACAATGTTTTAGTAAACAAAATATATTTCTATAGTTAAAATTTGTGCAATTCTTATTTTCATTCAATTCCTTGTTCCTATTGTGCAATTTAATTATATTCATATCAATAAATATTCTACCGAGAAAAAGACGTTGTCACGTAAAATCTTCGCCCGTAAAACCGACTTTACAGGCAACCATTTTTTTTACCACTCAACCTACAGATTGACTGTACTATATGTGACATCAAGATCATATCAATGTCATATCCTGTATCACATTTTTGACGTTTATGCGATACTGTTTTAAGTCAAAAAGTTGAACGTAATACGCATTTAAGTTGAAATCATTTTAAAGAGTTGATCTTAATACGCATAAGTTGATGTCTAGTTTTGATATCGCATTTTTCGGAGATATGCGTAATGTGAAATTGACATCAAAACAATATCACAATTAGCGAGCCTGCTGAGGAGCTCGATGGCGCAAGTGGTTAGCGCGTTCGGCTGCGATCGTTGAAGTTAAGCAACTTTCGCAGTGGTCGGTCATTGGATGGGTGACCAAAAATTTACTATCTCGAGCTCCTCCGTGCTTCGGAAGGCACGTTTAGCCGTTGGTCCCGGCTGCATCTGCAGTCGTTAGCACCCACCAATCCGCACTGGGTCGGTCATGGCCCAATCTCCCTATTCCATCTATAGGGAAGACCTGTGCCCCAGCAGTGGGGACATTAATAGGCTGATGATGATGAATTGGCCTCCTGTTGTCGTGTTAACTTATTATGTAACATGTAATCAAAGACACGTCCTCCGTGGTGGAGTGGAATGTACACTGTGTTTCAAGATGTCACCTTCTCTGAGGTGTTGGTTTGAATCCCGATGGGGAAATGTTTGTTTGATGTTTTTTTTCCGAAGTCATGATTGTTTATATTTTTGTATACTCATCTTCATCATCATCATCATTTTCTCGTCTCTGCGTCCATTTCTGAACATAGGCCCCTTACATTTTTTCCACAGAGCTTTTTTTGGGCTTTGGTCATCTAGTAACGGTCTGTGTGTCCCATAATCCAGTTATGGTTTGCGTGTCCCTTAATCCAGTTATGGCCAGTGTGACACTAAATCCATTTATGGCCTGCGTGTCCCGTAATCTAGTTATGACCTGCATGCCCCTTAATTCAGTTATGGCCTGCGTGTCCTTTAATCCAGTCATGGCCTGCGTGTCCCGTACTCCAGTTATGGCCTGCGTGTCCTTTAATCCAGTCATGGCCTGCGTGTCCCGTACTCCAGTTATGGCTTGCGTGTCCTTTAATCCAGTCATGGCCTGCGTGTCCCGTACTCCAGTTATGGCCTGCGCGTCCTTTAATCCAGTCACGGCCTGCGTGTCCCGTACTCCAGTTATGGCCTGCGCGTCCTTTAATCCAGTCACGGCCTGCGTGTCCCGTACTCCAGTTATGGCCTGCGCGTCCTTTAATCCAGTCATGGCCTGCGTGTCCCGTACTCCAGTTATGGCTTGCGTGTCCTTTAATCCAGTCACGGCCTGCGTGTCCCGTACTCCAGTTATGGCCTGCGCGTCCTTTAATCCAGTCACGGCCTGCGTGTCCCGTACTCTAGTTATGGCCTGCGCGTCCTTTAATCCAGTCACGGCCTGCGTGTCCCGTACTCCAGTTATGGCCTGCGCGTCCTTTAATCCAGTCATGGCCTGCGTGTCCCGTACTCCAGTTATGGCTTGCGTGTCCTTTAATCCAGTCACGGCCTGCGTGTCCCGTACTCCAGTTATGGCCTGCGCGTCCTTTAATCCAGTCATGGCCTGCGTGTCCCGTACTCCAGTTATGGCCTGCGTGTCCTTTAATCCAGTCACGGCCTGCGTGTCCCGTACTCCAGTTATGGCCTGCGCGTCCTTTAATCCAGTCATGGCCTGCGTGTCCCGTACTCCAGTTATGGCCTGCGCGTCCTTTAATCCAGTCATGGCCTGCGTGTCCCGTACTCCAGTTATGGCCTGCGCGTCCTTTAATCCAGTCATGGCCTGCGTGTCCCGTACTCCAGTTATGGCCTGCGCGTCCTTTAATCCAGTCATGGCCTACGTGTCCCGTACTCCAGTTATGGCCTGCGCGTCCTTTAATCCAGTCATGGCCTGCGTGTCCCGTACTCCAGTTATGGCCTGCGTGTCCTTTAATCCAGTCATGGCCTGCGTGTCCCGTATCCAGTTATGGCCTGCGTATCCCTTAATCCAGTCATGGCCTGCGTGTCCCGTACTCCAGTTATGGCCTGCGTGTCCTTTAATCCAGTCATGGCCTGCGTGTCCCGTACTCCAGTTATGGCCTGCGTGTCCTTTAATCCAGTCATGGCCTGCGTGTCCCGTACTCCAGTTATGGCTTGCGTGTCCTTTAATCCAGTCATGGCCTGCGTGTCCCGTACTCCAGTTATGGCCTGCGCGTCCTTTAATCCAGTCATGGCCTGCGTGTCCCGTACTCCAGTTATGGCCTGCGTGTCCTTTAATCCAGTCACGGCCTGCGTGTCCCGTACTCCAGTTATGGCCTGCGCGTCCTTTAATCCAGTCATGGCCTACGTGTCCCGTACTCCAGTTATGGCCTGCGCGTCCTTTAATCCAGTCATGGCCTGCGTGTCCCGTACTCCAGTTATGGCCTGCGTGTCCTTTAATCCAGTCATGGCCTGCGTGTCCCGTATCCAGTTATGGCCTGCGTATCCCTTAATCCAGTCATGGCCTGCGTGTCCCGTACTCCAGTTATGGCCTGCGTGTCCTTTAATCCAGTCATGGCCTGCGTGTCCCGTACTCCAGTTATGGCCTGCGTGTCCTTTAATCCAGTCATGGCCTGCGTGTCGCTTAATCCAGTTATGGCCTGCGTGTCCTTCAATTCAGCCATGGCTTGCTTGTCCCTTAGTACTATGTTTTCTATATTATGTTAAGATTTATTTTGTCCGCAGGCATGGTGGCAGAGCGAGTGGATCTCCGGTATTTCCTAACGTTAGGCATGTTGATATCTGCCCTGTTCTGCTACATGTTCGGAGTGGGCTACACGTACTCTGTTCACAACATGACATACTACTTGATAGCGCAGGTAACCACAATAATGGAAGATAATTTTATTCTATTTTAATCATAAAACTGTTTGATTATAAAAGAAAATATATTATTCAATCTAAAGAAAAAATTAAAATGTTTAATTATTTAGATATTTGATATTGTAAGTTATCTACAATGCGAAGTGAGTTGAAATTCGACATGGTTGATCTCTATACGGGCAGATGCGGCATCTGCCCGGATAGCGGAGATCGCGGATTCGAGTCCCGTCTGCTAGTTCGAGTCCTTTAGATTTTTCTCTTTAGTAAAATTTTCTATAGATTGAAACATCCAGTAATTCAATGTTTTATTATTATTATTAATATGCTTTTCTCGGTGTTTAACCGACTTCGATAGCATTTTAAAGGATATTAAAAACTAAAAAAAAAAGAGTCTTTGTTTATCATTATTTTAAATGCTATCTTCTTAAGCTAGCGATCAATAAATATTAATGCGGATGGTTAGCCTGTTCGGCTGCGATCATTGAAGTTAAGCAACTTACGCATTAGTGCCAAAAATCTCGAGCTCTTCCGTGCTTAGGAGGCACGTTAAGCCGTCGGTCCGGCTGCATGAGCAGTCGTTAGCACCCGCCAATCCGCACTGGGCCCGCGTGTTGGGTCATGGCCCGCACTCCCTATTCCATCCATAGGTTCAGGCCTGTGTGCCAGCAGTGGGGACATTATTTTCAAGGCTGGTACCAAGAGTCCAGATTTCATACCACCAGTGACATTGAATGGCATTCCTCTTAGAAGAGGATGAGGAACCGATGACCTTAGGGATGATGCAGATATGCAGAGGGAGCGCAGGGCATTGTCAGTCCGTGCTAATATGATGTCCCGTAGATTCACGCGATGTACTAAAACAGTTAAAATTATTCTGTTTAAAGCGCACATCTTTCTACTCGGCGAGTTCAATTATACCCAGCGGGCTTACAATGTTTTGCGCATCCAATATAATAATGCGTTCAGGGTCCTGTTGCGGCTTCCGCCTTTTTATAGCGCTTCAGCTATGTTTGCCGAGGCGCATATAGATGGTTTTGATGTGATTTGGCGTAAAAAGACTGCATCGCTGTCGGGCAGAATACGCGAGAGTGGCAACGGTATTTTGAACATTATTGCTGGCAAATTTGATAGTCCTCTTATGTGGAAAGGACATTGTTCAGCGTCCATACATAGTTAGCCTAAGAACCAACAATCATGAAATATTATTTTCTAGGTTCAAAATCGTAAGTATATGACTGTAAAAACAAAAAATATTGACGGACACTTCTGAGACATTATTAGAAAAATTAAAAAAAAATTGAGGTTATGTTTAATATTCAATGAAACATAGGTCCACCTATGAATTTAGTATAAACTCAGTATGAACTGAATTAATATTACAACTAATTCATTTTATTCGGTGTGATTTTAAAGAATTACTATTAGGAAAAACTTGGTTAGGTAGGAATCATGAATAAAATAAAAACTGTAGTTTTGCTTCTTATTTATTGACTATTTTTCACATAATTGTATCGTATTGTTTATTGTATTTATTTGTATATCACATGTAGGTATATTGTGTAAATATGCAGCGTGAATGTGTATCAGGTGTTCTTGAATAATTTGGCAGTATGATCCTCTCAGGATGTTGTGGCACAGGTTCACTAGCACTTGGTAATAAGGGCTCTGCTCTTTGGTAACATCGATGGCATATTAGATAGCCGAAATACTTAAATTAAAGGAAAAACAATCGCAAATAAACACACACAACAGGTAATCCGAAACGAGAACGCACTTTCCGGTATATTAAACTACTCTTTGGAATGCACGAATGCCACAGATTACTACGAATGCAAACTGCATGCACCACAACCACAGAGTAACGAGTTTTATGTCGGCCCTTCACTTGACAACAGTTTGTCCTTGTCATGCTTAATAAGGAATGAAAAGGACAGACTGATGTCATGATTTAAAATAGCAAATACGAATAGCCAAGTGAAGTGCCGGCATTAGGAAGAAAGAGTGTTTTGTTTGCAGCGCTGCCATAGATTTTACACATAAATGGTATTTATTGTCTCAGATTATTTTTTAATTTTTTAATTTAGCTTACTTAACTGGAAGTGTCCGTCACAATCTAAATACTGATAATTATCGCAAAAAATATACTAAGAATAATCATAAATTCTAAATTGGTGTTGGTTCTTAAGCCAATTTTAACATTGTCCTTTATCCAGAGGACAAAATTACTTTTAGAAATTAAGTACTAACATAGTTTAAGTATCTACTAACATATTTTGGATCATGTTGGTGTCCGTGATGCTAGCGTACCCATGCTCAATATAAATATAAAATAAAACATAAAATACTTTTACTGTTAGAGGCACTATTTAACACACTATTTATACATATAGAATTGATAACGAGAAAAGTTCATTTTCTATGAGAACTATTATGGGTACGCCAGGTTGACGCCAGCTAAGAATGTTTAGTTCAATATCTTTGGTCCGTTAAGAGTATTGATTATGAAATTTTGTAAAGCCAGGGCACAATTTGCGAACTATTTTTGTGTGTCAATTTCGTTGCTTAAATATATGCCGTTCTCGGGGTCGGCCATGGGTACGCTAGCTTGACGTCATGGTAGCGTACACAGTAAAAATGGTCTTTATTTCTTAAATTAAAGAGACGCTATTTCTTTTATTTTTACACTAATTTGGCACTATTTACGCAGTACTTCGAGGAGCTCGATGGCGCAAGTGGTTAGCGCGTTCGGCTGCGATCGTTGAATTTAAGCAACTTTCGCAGTGGTCGGTCATTGGATGGGTGACCAAAAATTACTATATCGAGCTCCTCCGTGCTTCGGAAGGCACGTTAAGCCGTCGGTCCCGGCTGCATCTGCAGTCGTTAGCACCCACCAATCCGCACTGGGCCCGCGTGGTGGGTCATGGCCCAATATCTCTATTCCATCCATAGGGAAGGCCTGTGCCCCAGCAGTGGGGACATTAATAGGCTGATGATGATGATGATGATGATGACGCAGTACTTAATTGCATAACGAAAGATCGTATATTGATCGTGGGTACGCTAGCATCACGGACACATCATGTTGTCCTTATTTGAACATCTATATATATAAAAATGAAACCCGTTTTCCGTTGTCACGACATAACATGAAAACGGCTTGACCGATTTGGCTGTTTTTTTTTGTAGTTTTCTAATACTCTGTACAAGGTTCTTACGGAAAAAAATATAAAGAAAATCCCAAGGGGATAAAATAAGGAATGAAAGTTTGTATGAAACTTTATCAATTTTAAACCGATCGGGCTGAGACTTTGCATGCAAGTATAAGAAGAATCATAGATGAATGTCATTGTGTATAATACAAGCCTGAGAACAAAAACTGTAGTCTACACTTCAGCTCTACACCGAAGCGAAGCGAGGGCGGGCCGCTAGTTAAATATATAAATAGGCTGATGATGATGATGAAGTTGGTTGGGTATAATGTTGCGTGGTGGTAAGGCAGGCGCGGGCGTGGCGCAGACCACGGGGTGGCCGGGCACCGTGTCCGTGCTGGGCAAGTGGTTCGGCACCGGCAAGCGAGGGCTCATATTCGGCGTATGGAACTCGCATACCTCCATAGGGAATATATTGGGTGAGTTGTATCTATTTAATAAAACTTGTTGGTTTTTAGTAATTTCGCTTTATGTTATAATAGATACAATTTAGCAGTAACAGTGTTCTTGACAGAATGAATTTAGCAAAGTCATGACATTATAGTCGGTAAAAACCAGCCGAACACGCGAACACGAGCGACATCTGCTATCTGCGGGCGACAACCAATGACGCTCGTGCTAAGAGCGCTCCGGTGTAACATCCAATAGATGGCGCCATCCGTTATATAAGTGCAATTTTTCGTTATGATTTGTAATATTCCTTTTCTTTTATATGTATGTATATGTGGGGTTTATACGGGCGCGAACAAAACTAGTTTTTACGGGTTAATGCTATTACACAGGAGATAAAATCCCAACCCCGAGCACACACTGCAAGACCATCGGATACTATTAGTTCTTTTTGTTTGCATAATTTAACATAAGAAGGAGATAGAAAGCCCCTCTTGAGTTTGTTTCGCCGGTTCTTCTCAGGAAGGTCTCCCAATTTTGGAAACGGTAGTAGTTTACGGTAGTTAGGGTCAAATAAATATATAAACTCAAAATTACAAACAAGAATTTTAAATAAAATACTTTATTGAGTAAATTCAATAATAAATTCATACATAGACAACAAAATTTTAAAAATCTTCCAATGAAATAACCGAACGCTCAATATAAGTCTTTCGAAGGTAGCTCGACAATTTTAAATAAAAAATCATTATTCTGACGATGCAGACCTGAAAAGGCTGCGAAACGTCAATAAATAAATAAAGTTTCGTGCGTTAATCCGTAAAAACTAGTTTTATTTAATGAGTGATGTGCGTGAAAACCTAAGAAACAAATATGTATCTATTTATTCAAGATTTACGCTGACTTACGGCGGCCTCCGTGGCCAAGTGGTTTGTACGGGTTTCAGGGTGTCGCATACTCGAGAGTTCCCGAGTTCGAATCCCGGTGGGGGCAGGTGTTTGCGTGATGAATGCATGCAATGTTTTTCTATATAAATGTACTTATATATGTATTAGTATATTTGTATTGTATCCGTTACCGTAATATCTCGTAATAATAATATGCCTAAGCCTAGTGCTTACTTTGCGGCTAGGCTAATTGGTGTGAGGGTTGAAAATATTTATTATTTACAGAACAAGATGCAACGCACAGCAGGTCACACTAATTAAAATTATAAATTTAATACTAATTATGCGTTACGAAAAAAAACAAAATTAAATTAATAAATATAATAAAATTTATTAAATATACACTAATGTCAATGTCAATATTTATTTAGGCACTACAAATTTACAAGCTTCTTTATAAAAATGGTCAGTTTATCTCACATTTGTCTTTATTGCGCCCGCGTCATATTAGTTTCTTTCTCACGCTCCTACTGGTCGACTGGTAGAGAAAGCCTTATGGCATTATGTCCGCCATTTGTTTTGTTATTTGTAATAAAATCCAAATTAACATATCTCTGTCATGTTTTGATTATGTGAATAAAGAATAAATACTTTGGGCGGGGGCACCCCAGTACCAGCTTCTCCCTTTGGATCGCATCCAGCGCCGAGCGGCTCGAATCGTCGACGACCAGGACCTTTCCGATCAGCTTGATCCTTTGGCTTTGCGTAGGGATGTAGCTTCGCTCTGCATCTTCTATCGCATTTATCACGGGGAGTGTTCTGAGGAATTGTTCGGATTAATTCCAGCTGCTCCATTTCGCCATCGTACATCGCGACAAAAATTTCATCCCCATCATCTTGATGCGTGGCTATCCACAACCGTGCGTTTTTGTCGAAATTTTTTACCACGTACGACAAAACTGTGGAATATGTTGTCGCCAGCAGTGTTTCCGGACCAATACGACCCAAGAACCTTCAAAAAAAGAGCGTACTCCTTCCTTAAAGGCCGGCATCGCATTTGTGATACTCCTGGTGTTGCAAGTGTCCATGGGCGACGGTGATCACTTACCATCAGGTGAGCCGCCTGCTCGTATGCCCCCTATAACATAAAAAAAAAACGTGTCCAATAATGTTTAAAAATCTACCTGATGGACTAGGAATTTAAAAAAAATAGTCATCGTCCCTATTTAACTATTTAACAAACAAATATTTATAATTAAAAATTTTTTCTTTATCATACATTTGGTCACATAGATAAAGGTAGGCTCTTTTTTTAAATGTAAAGACACCTTTACCAAAAAGCACTTCCATAGCATGAGGTTACATTATAGTAAAGTCAATCATTTTATTATGATTATAACATACTAGCTGTGCCTTGCGGTGTTACCTGCTGTTTATTAGGGATATTTTCCCGCATGTTATGTGTTAACCCAGGGTGTCAGCTTACTCCATACTAAATAGGGTATTTGACAAGTTTTAGAAAAAGATCTCACCGGTTTGACTAATGTTTACGCAGTCCGTAAAAAGTGGATATTCATCATTCTGTTGTGTATTTCAGTATAAATAACCAAATCAAAAACTCCATTTTCAAGTTGCCGCGGAAACGATTCTCTGGACAATATGGCGTCTTACTAGTTTGTGACGTCACACGACTGTTATTAAAACGTCAAACGGTACAATGTAATGTCTCTTTAACCGGAAGTTTAACAATCTCAAGCGTTTTGTGTCACGTGACAATAGACAAGAAAACTATTATCTTATTCGTGGGTTTTTAGTAAAATTATGAATATTTTTTTTTTTGTAAAAATAGTAAAAACCCCTGCCAATATTCATTCTAAACACAGATGCTTACAATTGGCACTTTATTTTTAATACTGTCAAATACCCTATTTTATTAAAATCGGTCCAGCCGTTTAGCCTTGAAGAAGTAACAAACATACACACTCACAAACTTTCACCTTTATAATATTAGTGTGAGTTACACCACAGAACTAGTTAAAGTTAAATTTTACTAAAAATTTGCCATGACCTGACATGTCAATTTACGTTAAAAAAAGTTTACTATGATATTTCATGGTGTCATGGTGTCGCCGACTCGACAGGTCCCGGGTTCAAATCCCGGTGGGGGCAGATGTTTGTGTGATGAATACGAGCATTTGTACTCCAGTCATGGATGTTTAATATGTATATATATCTATAAAAAAAAATACTTATATATGTACAGTATATGTATTCTATCCGTTACCCTAGCATCCCATAACACAAGCCTTACAGTGCTTACTTTGGGCTAGGCTAATTGGTGTGAGTGTTGAAAATATTTATTATTATATATTAATTAATTGTAATTATATTATCGAGGAGCTCGATGGCGCAAGTGGTTAGCGCGTTCGGCTGCGATCGTTGAAGTTAAGCAACTTTCGCAGTGGTCGGTCATTGGATGGGTGACCAAAAATTACTATCTCGAGTTCCTCCGTGCTTCGGAAGGCACGTTAAGCCGTTGGTCCCGGCTGCATTTGCAGTTGTTAGCACCCACCAATCCGCACTGGGCCCGCGTGGTGGGTCATGGCCCGCACTCCCTATTCCATCCATAGGGAAGGCCTGTGCCCCAGCAGTGGGGACATTAATAAGCTGATGATGATGATGACGAATTGTAATTAATGGCATAAGATGATTATGTTGTTTCGTATAATATAGGAACATTACTTGCGTCGGACTACGTGGAGGGCGACTGGTCGCTGTCGTTCATATACCCCGCGCTGGCGATGGGCTGCGTGGCCACACTCGTGTTCCTGTTCCTGCCGCCGGAACCAAAACATGTGGGCATTGTGCTACAACCGACGGACAACTGTGTGAGTTCAACATATAATATGTTATTATCTGTTTGTATACACCGTGTTCCTGAGGTTATACACTAACTTTGGCATGTTATTCGGACTATTAAATTGATCATTTTTGAAGTGAAACTTCTTTATCGGCGTTGGAAAAAAATTTACCGTCACATTTTTATTCGGTTACGCGTCACGTTTTTTGGTTACGCGCCATCTTTTTTTTAAAAGCTCATCTTTATTTACCTCATCCGAACAATTGCTTCTTCTGTCAACTTTAAAAAAAAAGTATCGACAGCAAATATTCGTGTTTCACACAAGGTAAGGTAAGGTAAGGTAAGGTAAGGTGTAGTTATACCCCTTCAGTGGGTGAGTTTTTGAAAAATCTTAGCGCACGCCTATATATATATTTCTGGAAAGTTGCATGAAGATCATTTTTCGAAAAAAATAAGGCCATAAAGAAGTTTCACTTCTTACGTGTGTACACTAGTACACGCACACATTTTTTTTACTATAGACACTTTTATGAATTCCGTATTTTTTATCATTTTTTATTTTCATACAAACCAAATGCTTAGATGTAATTTATCTAATAAGAATTACTCTTTACCTGAGCTGGCAACGTCGCATTTGAAACCTTGGTTCACATGTCCACATAAACTTTTTGAAACTTTTCTTGACGCCAACAATGTTTTTTTTAAATTTTGACTTTTGAAACTATGACTTAATGACCATTGACAAAGAGTTGATAGTTTAATATTTTTGGTTGCACAAAGTGGCAACATCTCACAGATAAAGACTCATTCTCACTGAACAACACAATTAAGTTGGTTAAACTTAAATTACCAATAACTTAAAAACTATGCTATTTAAACTACTACTTTCTTTGTACTATATGTTCAACGAGAGCTATAGAAGTATTATTAAAAGTTTATGTATATCCTCAGGAACACGGTGTATATATTGAAATAACCGCTTTTTACTACATGCATATGAATAAATAACCGCTTTTTACTACATGCATATGAATATATGATTTGCGGAAAATTGATCGAAAACAATTCATCGAATTACAATTCTTCGAACACAATTCATCGAAAAAACAATTCGTCGAAAAACAATTCTTCGAACGGTAATTCCAAAAAAAAAAATGAAAATTTAGCAGGAGGGAGGCTAAAACGAGGTGGGGAAAGGGGAAAAAGTATGAAAAAAAAAACGTTGCACGTATAAAAGTGTCGTGTCTGGCGCTTCGCCGGCCGCTGCCGCGGCACGCTCGCTCCGCTCGCTCGGCTCGCGCGTTTTTGGTCATCATACTAACCTAACCTAATGAACTCTTTAGACTTTATTCATTACGCCCCCCCGCCCCACTTCGGTTCTGTCACTAATAATATGAAATATAAAAAGCATGAAATTCTACACATTAATTTATTTTGTATACATGTTTTATGGCATTAATTGTTTCTAAAAACGCGTCTTTTTTATATTTAATTATGTTTCTGCGCCACAAATATTCTACAATCGAATCTGCAAAATCGTGCGGATGGTTATAATTATCTTTTCTGAAATATCTTTTGACAGCCCTCCACTGGGACTCGATCCTCTGCGTGTGAGTACCGTCTGGGGCAATAAATGGGTTGTCTGGATCAGAATGGTTTACTTTTTTGTTTTTCGGGGAATTACCGTTCGAAGAATTGTTGTTCGACGAATTATTTTTTCGATGAATTGTGTTCGAAGAATTGTAATTCGATGAATTGTTTTCGATGATTTTTCCGGTGAGGGAATATATATGTCTGTTTGTTCCGGCTAAGAGACCGTTCAAGTATTACGTAAGCACTATACGGGGGGCAGGGGGGTCTTTGCTTTGCTTATTTTTGATGACTTGGGGGGGGGGGGGGGGGGGATCGAGATAGTGATTACGTCAGTATCATGGATTCCGGTGTCATGGGCTGTTGTTACTCTTGCTGACAAGGGCGGGGAGGGGGTTCATAATCTCTTATCTATTAGACAAGTCCGTCCGTCTGTCTGTGGTGCTGTTTCAGCACATACATTTTTTTTAAATCAGGTTTTGGTGAACATTTGGTTCACTGGTTTGCTAGTTGTAATATATCTGTTTACGTAATACTTGAACGGCCCCTAATCTCTGAAATGGACGAACCGATTTTGACGGGACTTTTATTCGCAGGTAGCTCATGTAATAAAGAGTAATTTAGGCTACTTTTAATTTTAGAAAAAAAAGTAAAAGTTAACGCGGACGAAGTCGCGAGCGGTTGCTAGTGTTATATATATTTGTAATATAGTATACCCCACACTGGCGATAGGCTTCATCGCCTTATTTGTATTCCTGCAACGATATAAAATACCCTAGATACACCACGTGCGCTCAAAATGTGTCCCAATCAAGAAGTGCTTGAACACCACTCAAGCACTTCTTGGATCACAGTCACGCGCGGAGCGTTGAAAAGGCAAGTTGCCGCCGAGCTCCATGAAAAATGCGAAAAAAATACTTACTATATGTAAAGTGTCGTTTTTCGATAGGTAATCTAATCAATTTAACCCATTGAAGCAAATTTTGTTCTAATACTTACTAAAACTGACTTAATAGAGAATATTTGTCATATTCAAATGCATGGTCGGTACTATAGCCGTCTCTTTTCCTCGCGGTCCGTACCTACTATATTGCTAACAGCGCATTCAGGATTGCGCGTAGAGTCAAACAAATAAGGTCTATATCTTTCCGCATATAGCAATAAGTCGTAAAATTATACGAGCTTGCATTTTGAACTGTCATAACTCTTTGACGCATGCGTTTTAATTAAGACCTTATACAGTATCTATCAAAGGTGACTTTCAATGTTTCAATACTGCCTTATATTGTTTTTGACTATGTAATCATCTTACGGAGCTCCGTGGATCGTCCAATGTACCTTTTGGACAGGTTTCCGGCACGATTTTGTTCGTGTTGGTGTATCTAGGGTTTTTAATATCGTAGTACTCCTGTTTCTACCGCCAAAGCCTAAATCTGTGGGCATTGTGTCACAACCGACGAATAACTACATAAGTTGAACATATGTTTTGAGTATTTTTTTTTTGTAAATCTATGCACATTATATAAAAGTCACTGTTATTATTAATTTTATATACTCATCAAATTTATATTATTTATTTTATAAAATAGGTACTTAAATTATTGGCATGCTTGAAATACAATCTTAAATTTATTCAAAATTTCAATTATACATTGATATTTTGAATAAAAAAGTATTTGCAATAAATATGATTTGATTTGATTGACATGATAAAAATGTGTACTAGTCAAGTTAACTTTTACAATAAAAAAAACCATTCAATCAAATATTTACCAAATCAAATATTAAAATTTTTGAATTTTACTTTAATTTACGCATTTATCTTTTACAATAAAGAGAAACTCCCAGTTCTAAAATATTCTTTTGAAAATTAGCCCAAATATAATTTAATACATGCCTTGCGTACTTGAAGACACTTTTGATGTGAGTAAATTAACTTTGTTCCATGCAATATACATTCATTCTTATTCAATCGTATGATAGTTCTTATAAAAAATCTTTTATCAATCTTTCAATCAACCATTCGTTCACTTTTATATTAATTCCATATTTCAATATATTATTTTTAAATTGTTTACACAATATTCATAATAGGGATGATGACGGGGTACAGTAAACGAATTTCTATTTCCGTCAGTTAGATGATCAAAAAATAATGGACACGTATTTTTTCTTTGGGCAATCAACCAAAAAATTACAAAGTTATAGCGCGTCAAAGTTTGGGAGAAGAGGCTCGTGACATCACTTTTAAGTGATTTTTCCCTTATAAGTGTACTCATACGTGACGTCATGCGACTTTTCAAATCAATATATCTCTGCAATGTTTATATTATGTGAAAAAAGAAAAAATACGTGTCCAATACTTTTTGATAATCTACCTGATAAAAGAAGAAAAAAAAATTAGTCATCATCCCAATTAGTCAGTAATCAATTATTACACATCATCATTTAAATAAAAAATAAAACCATTTAAAGCTTTTTGTTGTGTTTATTGTTAAATTGTGTAATGTAGTTCAAAGAAAGAACTTGTTTACTTGTATGTTTATTGTTTAGTGTATAAATAAAACAATTAATAAACCTAAAGAAAATATTGCTAGAAAAATTCCACGTGGACCAGGCAGCAGACGGGACTCGAACCCGCACCCTTCGCTATCCGGGCGGCCGTGTCCAATTCTTTCTAGCTTTTCTTATACTGTGCAAGCTTGGATTTTTTTCTAGTAATATTTTATTTAGATTTAGACATCGAGCAATTACATGCATAGAAATTATAAAAAATAAACCTTCAAAATTTAGGTAATTTATTTATTTATAAATCTGAGAGTCTACAGAACAATTTTAATACGATTAAAGTAAAGCGGGGATTGCTACGATTTACTCTGTTATATAAATGTATATACTTGTGATAGCAATACAACTATGCGCACTTTTACTTATTATATTATTATTTTAAGCATTGAATTGTATATTTATAAAAATAAAGAAATTTTTACTAGAAAGAAATTCTCGTCACTAGATTCGCCCGGCAAGCGGAAGGCGCAGCTTCGAATCTTGTCTGATGCCTGGCCCGACTAGATTTTTTCTAGTAAAATTTTGTTTATATGTTTACTATAATTTTGTGACCATGAAAGTTTAATTCCAACTTAATTAAATTTGTAGCCGTCCCGACAATCGCGGTCTGATGATGAAGAGGAACCTCAAGTTATCGTTGGGGACCAGGTAATTACAGTTAATTTACGCTTCAGACTATGAAATATTTACGCGTTAACAACACTAATTAAATGCTACACTCTGAGATTTCATATAGGTTTCAAATTTGATCATAGTTAATTCTATCACTGTCTTATGTGACACTTTAAGAATCTTTACATTAATTTTATGGAGACGTCCATGAAAATAAATAATCAATTTTGCTACAACATTAATATAACTCGACATACATATCTGCAGAATATACCTACATACATTGCTATACGGTTAACAACTATTTTAACGTTTTATCTCTAATTTTGTTACTAAAATATACATTCCGTGGGCGTTACTGTTACTTGTGGCAATTAACGGAACTGGGTCAGTTGTAATTTGGCACTGAGCAGTAACAACTTTTCAATTTCCAGTGTAATTTTTTATGTGAGTTAAATCGATTTCTGGCATGGCGACTCATGCCGCCGCTATATGATTCAGTACGCCTCGCCTCATTTAAAGTGGGACATTGTACTGGCTCAGTACAAAAAAGAGGCTACTCTTACAAACTCTTTTTCAATTCGTGTCCTACCCAACACTAGACTCACCAACAGAAACACAACACCAACATAAAGTAGTGTTATTTCAGTGTGGTCTTCTGTAAGGTGGAGTGGAGGGGGGGAGGGGGGTTGGCTTCCCTTGATGAGAACTTCAATTAATATTATGTTGATATGCTTTCATACTTTCAATGTGCTAATTTCTTATCTACCATTACTAAAAAATCTTATGAACTATTAGGATTGATCTAAACTGTCCTATAATATAACCTATAATATTTGTGCGTCCGGCCGTACGTGTGATTAACCTTTTGCTCACGTTAAAAAAATAAAAGTAACAATTTTAAATAAAAATTAATTGTTAGTTTTACTAAACTTTCTAATAATTTTGTTTAACATAGTTGAGATTAAATGTTGTTAACGTTTAATGGTGCTGAAACACCGAAGTTACATTTGATTTGTTTGCTATTTATTATATAAAATGGTGCTTGCTTAACTGTAGTGATGGTTTAATTTAACTGAAACCTAGTGTTACCGACACAAACTGATAATCTATTAAAATCTATAGAAAATCTTACTAGAAAAAATTCAACGCGGATCATGCAGCAGTCGGGACTCGACCCCGCACTCTTCGCTATCCGGGCGAATACACAGACCATTATGCTACCGCGGCTCCCAAAGCAAGCAAGCTACGCATAATGGTCAGTGCATTCGCCCGGATAACGAAGGGTGCGAGTTCGAGTCCCGTCTGCTACCTAGACCGCGTTGAATTTTTTCTAGTAAAATTCTTTATAGAATTAAACATCTATTAGTTAAGTGCTTAATAAATAAAAATATAATAAACGATAATCTATTGTTGTAGCCTGCAGTATTAAGACAGATAATTTTGCTCTTTTTTAATTTAAATAATATTAATAATTGCGTATCTGAAATGTGACTTCCTTGTTTATGCACCATAAAAAGCACCTTTAATCATGCGTGCACTATAACAGCATGTGTCTTGCAGGCTGCCAGCTTGAGGCCCAATAGACATTCAGCCAACAACCCACCGGTAAGTCATTCACTCATTCACTCACTCACTTTTTCATTCATTCATTCACTCACTCTTACTCATTCGATTAGTTAATCCATCGTTCGTTCATTTTTACTGACGCACTGCACTATGGAGCGAGATATTTAATATTTTTTAATCAAAACTGTACGTCAACATAATTATTTTGATTTCGTTAAATGTTAAGGATTAATCCAGTGAAATTTGTTTAATGGTATGAACAAAAAAATGGTTACTGTTTGTGCAGTTGAATTTTATAGGCTATCAAAGTCAGAAATGATTTATTCAGTCTTGGCTGTTACAAGCACTTGTGAAGGTCAAGAAGCTACGCCATCGGTTCGCAAAACTATGGCGGGAGACCTTGTACTGAGAAGAGCCGGCAAGAAACTCAGCAAGGGCTGTTTCTTTCTCCCTGTATTGTTTTTTTATGACTATTAACTGTTTTTGAAGTGAAACTTCTTTATCGGCGTTGGAAAAAAATTTACCGTTACATTTTTTCGGTTACGCGTCACGTTTTTTGGTTACGCGCCATCTTTTTTTTAAAAGAGCACTATTTACCTCATCCGAACAATTGCTTCTTCTGTCAACTTTAAAAAAGAAAAGTATCGAGAAGTAAATATTCGTGTTTCACACAAGCTAAGGTAAGGTAAGGTGTAGTTATACCCCTTTAGTGGGTGAGTTTTTGAAAAATCTTAGCGCACGCCTATATATATATTTCTGGAAAGTTGCATGTAGATCATTTTTCGAAAAAAATAAGGCCATAAATAAGTTTCACTTCTTACGTGTGTACACTAGTACACGCACACATTTTTTTTATACAGAGTCGTCGAGTTAAAAAATGACTTCAGAGATAGAGATACATAGATGTACTTAGAGTGTTGCTTGTTGTAACAAAGTTTTTATTAGAAAAAGCTATAAGTAATAAGCATTAACTTACGAATTGATACCTCACTCCGACTAATCAATACTTTCATAATGATATTGAACATGCGAATGTGTATCTGTCTGTTACTTTTTTCGGTTAAAACTTAACAAAGAACTAATTTAATATAGCCTTGTCTTAAATCTGATCAGAAAAATCAAATCTATTTTAAGCCTTTAGTGATGTGTTATAAAAAATTATACCAAGTAGATATTTTATAGTTCTTATGAGTTTAAATATATAAATATAAATAATTTTTGTGCAGATTAATTGTTCATTTATTTATGTAATACGGAATATTTTCCTTTTGGAACAGACAAAGTCAATTTTAATACTTATAAATATTTGATTATTTCACGAAATTTTAGTGAGAAAAAATGTGTGCGTGTACTAGTGTACACACGTAAGAAGTGAAACTTCTTTATGGCCTTATTTTTTTCGAAAAATGATCTACATGCAACTTTCCAGAAATATATATATAGGCGTGCGCTAAGATTTTTCAAAAACTCACCCACTAAAGGGGTATAACTACACCTTTCCTTACCTTACCTTACCTTACCTTACCTTACCTTACCTTACCATCTGGGTCAAAGCCCACGTAAGTATCAAGGGAAACGAGGAGGCCGACTGTGCTGCGAAAGCAGCTGCAACGCTGCACAGCAGATACAATTACGCAATGTTTCCCATCAGCTACGTTAAACACCAAATAAAGGAAGAAACACACAGTAAATGGACAGAAACGTACAGGGATACTGTCGGTGTTGCAGAACATACCAGAAGGATGTGTCCTGAACTGGAAGACGTCACAAAAGTGATGGAACAGTGTGGCGCATCCTTTTGGCTGTCTCAGGTCCTTACAGGACATGGATATCACCGGCAGTATCTGTGTAGGTTTAAAATCATAGATAATGACATTTGCCCCTGCAATAGCGGGGCAATTCAGAACATTGACCACCTACTATTCGAGTGCGGTAGATATGCAAGAATTAGACACGAATATCTTTCATGCTGCGATTTTCATAAAATCAACCCACGCAATATGATTGAAACAGCCTCAAACGAAAAAACCCGAGTAGCAATGCTCGAATTCATTAAGGGAGTATTTGGGACACTAAAGCAGTTCAATGGAACATAGCCATACTTGACTGGGTAGAAATATATAAAATAACATATTTTATTAGTAATTATTATTGTATATATATATATAAACATTATACATATGAACATATATATAATATCATATAATATCAAATATATAATCAAAAATACATACCCACAGTGAAACACGAATTAAACATCATGAACACCAAAGGTTTTGCTGTATCAAATCGCAGCACACCAAACCTGCAACCTGAAAAACAAACACATAATTATAATACCTTACCTTACCTTACCTTACCTTACCTTACCTTACCTTACCTTACCTTACCTTACCTTACCTTACCTTACCTTACCTTACCTTACCTTACCTTGTGTGAAACACGAATATTTGCTGTCGATACTTTTTTTTTTAAAGTTGACAGAAGAAGCAATTGTTCGGATGAGGTAAATAGTGCTCTTTTAAAAAAAAGATGGCGCGTAACCAAATAACGTGACGCGTAACCGAAAAAATGTGACGGTAAATTTTTTTCCAACGCCGATAAAGAAGTTTCACTTCAATAATAAAAACGTAATCATTAATAAACAAATATTTTAATGAAATAATTATACATGTTATAAGGGCAGTTTCTTAGCGATGTCCTTTATTCGCATGTTCAGTACCAAGCCAGTGAGGACGCGACGGAAGAGACCGCCCTCCTCCGCCGGCCCTCTCACTCGCACGCTGGCGCCGTCTCGCTCACTCGCGCGCTGGCCATCCCCGGCGTGGTGGAGTTCTCCCTGTCTCTGTTTTTCGCTAAACTGGTCAGCTACACGTTCCTGTATTGGCTGCCATTGTACATCAATACTAGTAGTAAGTATATATTTATTTACTAATTTTTTAGCTCTAAGTAGATAAAATAAATAAATATTAACGGCCAATTTCAATAATCGTCCTCCAGTTCCATTACGTAGACGGGATTTCGTAAAACGAATAATAATTCTCCACCGAAACTAGTTACTAGTTGCATACAAAGAAGAGTAGGCTAGTTGACCCTTTTTGGAAAAAGGTTTTAAAAGGTTAATAAATGTTCTATTAGACCGAAAAAAAATGTATTGTATTTTTTGTGACCTAGAAAGCTACAAATCTGTAATAGGGAAGATGCATATATAATATTTATGAAAATTTTATGATTAAAGTGTTAAAAAAATATAAAAGAAATGCCACTGCAACGTTTTTATTTTACATAATGTTGTTTTTTAACAATTATTACGAATTAAAAATACTTGAAACGGAACGTATTTTAAAACACCAATCAGCGTTTAGTGACGTCACTCCTGTTATGACAACTTCATTGAGGTTATGGTTGTTAAAGTAAATATTGTTTTATGGGAATATTTATTGCGTTTTTTTACATTTAATAAAAATGGAAGTTGCGTTTATCAAAGCAGACTCCAGGAATTTACCAAGAGTTAGCGTTGACATGGTTATAACTTTTTTGTCCAAAGTGCAGAGTTTTTAAGTGTAGAAATGAAAGGGACTAAATTACTACGGTATGTAAAAATCGTAGTTGTTAAACTTCGTATTTTATTCAGCGGCTTCTACAAATCTTACGGCGATAATGCAATCGGCTATGTCCAAATTAAAAGAGATGGAAAATTATGTTCAGTAAAAGGTCGAGTTCTCCGGAGCATAAAGTACGTAAAGAAGGTTATCGTGTTACAGTTATTTTAAATGAAACGCAAAGCTTGCTTCAGTCCTGCCAATGTGAAAATTGTGCCACACATTTTAAACTTTATCTAATTTTCGACGTCATTCTCCAACTGTAAAATTAAAAATATGTTATAGACAGGTTTTGTAAGTATTAGGTAGGTTACTAATGCGTTTTTACGTACAAGCAGATTAATTAAGCATATAACAAGAATATTCGCCGACTTCCGTCAAAGTGATCTTCTCAGCATCGAATAATGGTCTTTGGAGAATAATTGTCATTTCTCTTCGTAGCTTGAAACCACTTTTTTTTCAGTTTTGGGTCAGAAGTTCCAGTCAAAAACAATTTATTTGAGAACTTTGTTGAAGTAGATTGGCACAAAACATGAGTCAACACGGCTTTTTTCGGAATAATAGTGGTATAGTTATGATCACATGATGTTGATGGATAGTCCATTTTAAATTTTTCAAAAAAATATTTCGAAAGTCGAAAAAATATGCAAAAGTATGAAAATTTAAAGCAACGAACAATTACGACCAGTGACAGACAGGAGTGACGTCATCGCAACCATAGGTTCGTTTTCGCGCGAAAATTTAAATTGTCAATTTAAAACCGCAATTTTTCCGATAAATCACAATATTTTAATTTTTTAATATATCTGTGGTTTATTCTACATGGAATTCTTTAAAATGAATACAAAAATAAAAATATTGCATCTTCCCTATTTTAAAATAGACTATTCATGGACATACAAAAACGCTGTTGGCCATTTTAGTCTATAGATTATCTATGCTATGACGTTAACCGGTAGTAAACAAAAACTCGTAAGCACGTAGAAAATAACCTATCTGAGTTTATAATAAAAAAAAACATGATTTCTAATAAATAACACGAAAATATAGTAATTATCATTATTGTATTAAACGAGAATGTTAAAACACATTTTTGAAGACTCCAGGAAAGTTGTGTAAAGTGCCGAAAGAAATTAACTAAGCAATGCCTGGTTAGAACTTGCTAAAAGGGATCCTGCAACTTTATCGACTCATAGTAAAATTTATTTTTGCGAAGATTACTTTGACGTCAGTACTCATAGAATAATATTTTAAGTCTTTTCATTTATTATCAGTTTTAATAATACAAGTTTTAAGGTTATGTATAAATGGCATTTAGTTGTTTACTACCAAAGAGACGTCACAATCAGTGCGGATGTGGCGAACAGCGTTTTTAGTGTTTAAAAAGTATAGACTAAAATTATTTTTTAAAATTAAATTTCTACAGCATTCTTCTGCTTTTATGAAGTGAAATCGATGTATTTAGGTTCCTTAGACCAAATACTTTAAGAAATAAACATTTATTTAATACAATTCGACATGAGTCAACTAGCCTATTTAATAAAAAAATCGTGTCACAGAGTTTGTAACAAATCTCCTCCAAAACGGCTTGACCGATTCTTATGAAATTTTGTGTGTATATTTAGCAGGTCTAAGAAATTATTTTTATAACCTTTCCTTTTCCGTCATTCCGGTATTAATTACCAGGACGACAAAATCTAACAGAAGGTGGCATTAATAGTGCGTTGATATGATGATGATAGTACCAGGACGACATAGTCTAGCGGAAGATCTGTTTCGTTCGTGATTCGTATCGCTTGCGAGTCCATAATGTCATTGTCAAATTTTTGCAATGCACTGGCCAATTATGCTACCGCGGCCCTCACGCGGATTGCGAAGGGTGCGGGTTCGAGTCCCGTCTGCTGCCTGGACCGCGTGGGATTTTTTCTAGTTATATTTTCTTTAGATTTAAACATCAAGCAGTTACATGCTTTAAAATAATAGAAATTATAACAAAAACACAATGCTCAGCAGACCAGACTCACGGACTATTCAATAGCCACTCAACGCTAAATGATCGCACCAAGAAAACTGACCGAGTTTCCAAAAGCCAGCCAACGGATGCGACGGATTGCGAAGGGTGCGGGTTCGAGTCCCGTCTGCTGCCTGGTCCGCGTGGAATTTTTTTTAGTTATATTTTGTTTATGGTGTTTTGGTGTTTATATTCAGTCTGTTCTCTCTTAGCCTATCGAACAGTCCTTTACCCTTGTGCTGGCTAAGGAATACTTGGTCCTTTCTCACTCGGTACTAGGACAATATAGTCTAGCAGGAGGTGCCATTAACAATTTATCTTGTAGCCAGTCTCACGCTGCGTGAGTATGGTCTGTTGAGCACGATGTCTTTCTTAATGAGCTCTCTATTATGTTTGTAGTTCAGCGTTGGCTGGCTAAGGGACACCCAGTCTCAGTTTAGCGTTGTCTAGCAATTGAACAGTCGGTCCGTTCTTTCTATAGCCACGCCATAGCTCACGCCACGTGAGTTTGGTCTATTGTTTGTCGTTTAGCGTTGACTAGCTTAGGGACACTCGGTACCAGGACGACATAGTGTAGCGGGACGTGTCATTAACGATGCATCGTTCAGCCTGCCTGACGCTGCGTGAGACCAGGCACTCAGCGTTGGCTAACTGCATAATAGACTGTTGTTGTTCAGGAGTTGCTACCAGAACAACATATTATAGCAGGAGGGTATCATTAACAATGTATCGTTAAGCCAGTTTCACGCCGCGTGAGTTTGGCCTGCTGAGCGCGGTTTTCTTGTGTTTATACTTGGTGTGTTCTCTCTTTGTATATCATTCAGTGTTGGCTAGCTATGCAATAGTTGGTTCGGTCCTTCTCTGATTGTCGTTTAGCGTCGGCTAGCTTAGGGACACTCGGTACTAGGACGACATAATGTAGCAGGAGGTGTCATTAACCATGCATCGTTTAGCCTGCCTGAAGCTGCGTGAGACCAGGCACACAGCGTTGGCTAATTGTGTAATAGTTAGTTATAGGTTGTTGTTCAGGAGTTGGTACCAGGACAACATAGTGTAGTAGTAGTCCAGTCAACAAGTTCAAAAACGTGAAAAATAGAGATAAAGCTCCTAAAAATATGAGCAATAGCTCATTGGATTCGGAACGACCTCTAGAAAAATGAGTTTTGAGGATTTTACTGCACGTAAAAAATTGCAATTGTTATTAACAAAATAAGATGAAAAAAAAGACGTATTTACGTTTTTGTTAATAACTCATAAACTATTAATATTTACGATATTTGGAAGAAAGGTCCTTAAAGAGGAGGAAATTTCCGAAAAAAAAGTCCCAGCTCCCGGAACTCTACCTCTATTATTTATAATTTTAATTTAACGCTGAAAATAGGGCTCCGCGCAGCCATTACGGCATGGGCGCACTGCCGTTAAAGACAGTTTCTTACATAAAATTATTTTTTATAGTAACAAATATGAATTTAAAAATTTAAATAAATTATGGTGTCATCCAGATACTTGAAAGAATATATTGCCGTTGGAAAAAAAAATTTAAATTAATTTTTCAAAAAGTTTGCAATTGTTAATTAACGAATTTTTTTCCTATCTCCGTTTTCATAAATGACGACATAAAAATTTAAATAATAAACCTATAAATTTTTGGCTCTGTGGAGCTCTTCTTATATATATACTTAACAAGGTCCCGCGATAAAAGTTTATTAAAGTTAATTATTTTGTTTATAACAATTTTTTAAAGTTAACAAAAAATGAAAAGTCTAAGAAATATTATTAAAAAAATTTTTTTAAACAAATGTTATATTATTGCTGCTTTCTTATCCAACAATGGCATTAAGAGGGTATACGCGCTCCGTGCGCTGTTTGGCTAAAAAACGTGATTTTTCAAACCAGATTGTCCACCAACCGATTATCTTACAAACATGTGAATTGCTTATAATTTTAGGAAATGTTTTAATCTATGTCGTTAGTTAAAGTTTTTTTTCGTTTAAAACATTGTTTGTGAATACCATCAAGATAACTGAACAGAGGTTTACTGGATTTCACTCTCAGTGTCAATTTCGAAGCTAAAAATATCTGAAATTCCTGACAGATCTAATAAACAAAAATTTTTAACTAACAGCAAAGATCCTTAAGAAAATCATTAGTTAAAGGGATTTTTTGTTTTAGCTTCCAAACTCATGAAATTAAAATCCATACAAAGTGATTTTTTTTAGAAATTATAGTCGATGAAATGATTTTTTTAACCAATACACATTACTTAATTTAATATAATTTATATTAATTGTAATAGAAG